CTCTGAGCAACCTGATCTTGTTGAAGATGCTCATTGCAGGGGAGTTTGCCTAGATGACCTTTAAAGTTCCCTTCCAGCCCGAACTATTCTATGATCTAGATTTTTTCTTTACCTTAGGTTCTAATATATTCTTTAAAAAATCTAGTTCTTTACATATTGCGTTGGCCACTCAGAAGTGTGAATTAAAGATCCACAGATTTTAAGTATGAAAGAAAATCATATGATGATACGATGTAAAAAATCTGTTTTGTAGTCAGGCTTAAGAAATGCAGTCTGTTTGGTATGGCAAAGAAAATTGAAACATTTTTTACATAATTACAAAGAAAACCTAAAAATAAACCTTAAGGAGACAACTTTTTAAAATAATCAGGGTAATCAGTACTCAGAAAAAGGTAATAAGGAATTTGGTGGAGGATCCACTGGTTCACACACTTTTTTCTTTTTTTTTTGTTTTTAAAACAGAAATATGATCTTGGTCTGTTTGAAAGGATGAACTTGTTGAACAGATTAGTACATGAAATTCTGTGATCTGTTTTGATGATTAAAGAGTCATAATGGTCTAGCCTAACATTAAAAATCTATGAAGTGATAGTAACTCACTAACTTCACTAGTAATTAAAATGCTTGTTATTTCACAACAGTCTTTACTTGAAAAATAAAATGGTGTTTGTGGTATGGAATATTTGACTGATATTTAACATGTACCTGAACCAGCAGAGTTATTGGTCCACTTTTATCCACCTCCAATATTTCACCATTTTTTGTGCCCACTAAAATATGACCATGTCCTAAAGATATGGCACGTATAGAAGGATTATCTTCTAAGAGGAGACCTAGAATGTTAAAAGTGTTAGAAGACAGAAGATTCTCAAGTATGCTTTAAAGAGGATTTTTCACACATACAAACATTACGTTCCCATTGTAGAAAAAGATACTCAGCATATTCCTACATGGAAGAACTTACATGTTTGGATTCATTTGGGAGTATTTAGCAATTCCCTAACTGACACTAATCTTTCTTCTCAATCGAGTATCTCTGGTTTTATCAGCCTGACTCATTGGCAATCTTAGTGAAAAAACGTGCATGTGAAGTGTCAACTATACTAGTATATTGCTAGCATTTATGGTACCTTCAAATCCAGATTTTTATTAAACAGATATGAGAATGAGATACTCTGTAAGTAGAATGGTTTAGTTAACGGGTGTTTCCATCCACAATTTTTGAAAATCAAACCATATACATTAGAACACAGCAAATGTAATTTTAAGGTGGGGGAGCAGAGAAAAGGCTATCCAGAATGTCAAATAGGAAAAACTGTAAATCAGCACTAAGATCAAGAATAAATGGAAGAAATAGGAATAATAGGAATGAAAACATTCTTAAATAGTTTCAAAAGACATATGCATTTACAGAAAATAAAGTCATAAAATGTACTAATACCTTACAAAACTAACCACAATTTTGAATTCCATTCCTCCTCCAAAACAAAAATGATCAGACAAGATACTTCATGATTAGAAATAGGCTTTTTGGTTGCCACTTTAAAAAAAAGATAAATCACCTGGGTGGTAAGAGACTCAGGGTTAAATCAATTACTTCAGGTAGGTAATAAGGTAAATATTATGATCTGCACCTACCAAATGTGAAAACAGACACTACAACATACCATTCCCCTCCCAACACAAAAATGACTTATTCAGAAGCAATAAAGCTTTAAAAAAATCATTTTTAGTATTCGTTATGTCAAATGTGGATTCCCTCCGACTGGAGAAAGGAATTCCACAGAAAGAGTCTTCTAAAGAAAGTATTTTAAATAGAAAAAAAAAATAGGATAAAGTCTGTGTTACCTTTAGACCCAGGGGCCAAAGCAGCCCTTTTGATGGCATAGGTTTTGAGACAACGTTCAAAGGTATCGTCCCAGAGAGCTACTACCCCATCCTTTCCTCCAGTGACAAATCCCTGGAGGAAGAAAGAAAAAAAAAAAAAAAACCCCAAACCAAAAAATACCACAAGTTATAATCAATTATTATCTTTCCTTAATTTTTCAGTGATCTCTGCCAATATTGAAAATGGATTATATACAACACTGTAATGCACAGAACTACCAATGTTAGAGATTAAAAGATCAGGAGCAACAAAATGACTGAATTCTCCTCCTGACGAAGGCAGCACAGTTCTGTACAGTCCATGTACACAGGCTGGATTTAAAAGTTCTAACTAATAAGCTTCTACCATACTAGGAAAATAATTTAACTGACACAATGAAATGTTTTTCTTGATATTTAGCCTCAATATCCCTTTGGCATTTCACCTCATTACTCCAAGCCAAACTTAGTACCACTCACAAGAATTTGATTAGTGCTTAAATTGTTCAAATATTTGTGCCATTCTGTCTCCAAAAATTATTCACAACTATTTACTGAAGCAACAGGTATACTTAATACTGAAATAATTAGTACTTTCCTTTGGAGAACTTAATTCTTGCAATATGAATAACACATGCTTTGTCCAAAGCTACTATACTGAAACTCAAATATTAGAAGGTGGAGTAACTTGCTCTAACCTAGCAAAACACAAACATATATATAACTTCACACATACAAGTAATCTAACTGGAACACCACCTTTAAGCACATGCTTAAAGGCTTTCCTGAGTCAAAAGAAGTTGAGAAGGAGAGAGTACTTAGTGATCTACAGATTGAATGCTTCTACTAGTAGACAGTAATTACAGCACAAAATAATAAGAGTGAACTTCTTCCTCTCTCACAAGCTCACATATTCCATTAAACTTATGGATGCTTAAATCAAAAAGTACTTTTACCTATCATAAGTTACTATTATTTCTTTAGTAAGAGGTCATGAAAATTACCGAGTAAGGTGTCACTGAACCACAACGGTTTGAGAAACAGCATGCTACATAACAAGAATTAGAGACATTCACAAACCACTATTTTGAATCTGGACCTCACAAGGCTTTTCTGTGATGGAAATAAAGCCATGGATTCCCAAGTTTGGGAAAGGCCTAACTTCATAGACTTCTTTGTCCCGACATCAAAAAACAATGAGCAGTTTATTTACTTTTTCCAATGCGTGCATGCTGAACACAGGACCATCATGTGCTTTGACAGTTTTTATGAGAAACACATCTCTCCAAATACACACATCCCCTGTGGAAGTTCCAGAGAACGCCATCTCTTCGGTCCAGCCATACACTGCACACATCATTGTATCGGTTCTTCCCAATGCTCCTATGCAGCCCTTCCTCCCGATTAATCCTCCGCCTGGTTCAAACCAAAAACAAGTCATCAGATGTCTGCTTAGAATTATTTTCCAAAAACTATACAACCTTACCCAGAGCAACAAGTCCTTTTCTTCTGGTTCACCCAAGCTCCCCAAAAAATTGAGCCCGAGTAGAATTCTCACAAATTAAAATTTTTGTACTATTTGGCATCTTTCAAGAAAAAAACCTTACTTTTAACTTACTACTTGAAGCTGGATTTGAATATATGCATATATCCACATAGACATGCAAAGAGAAAGTGCATTTGTAAACTCGCATCTAAACAAAAAACTTAACATCTACTACACAGTTCATAGAAATTCCTAATGAAATTCACTTGAAAGAAAAAAAAAAGTTTAAGTCTTGACTTCCCATTCTTTTCATGGTATGTTTTCAGTGAGAGGATTTCTAATTTTATTTTAGAGGTTTGCCATATTGGCCTCTGGATAATAGAAATGTTACAGCTTTAGAATACCATATCTAAAGTCATTTGACAAGTGTAACACATAATAAGTTCTGGCTAGAAAGTCAGATTTGTATTTTCACAATCCTCAGAGAAACTTCATGTGGTATAACACAGAAGCCCATCAGGATATGACACTTCATACTGTTCTCGTACTTTCAGAGACAAGGTTTCTAAACCTCTGTGCCATCACTTGGCACTCATGAAAATTTAGTCCAAAGCAGATATCACATCAAGTGCACCTGCTCTAGTGCAGATTTCAGAGACTTGACATTTGCTAAGGTGCACTGATACTCTACTCCTCACATTAACACTGCTAAGTGTGTTTCATGGTGACTGTCTTGCCAGTGTGCCATTGCAGTTTCGCACAGATGGGCTGTAGCATTAGAGAAATTTGATTACTGCTGACTGAGCAATGCCAGAGAGAAAAGAGGCATTTTAAAACAATTTCATTTCTTTATTCAAAATCACCATCACCGGGCTTTTATCATAGTTAAGATTTCTTTCTAAAGAATTTATAGTAATTCATTCAGTAAATATTCTGACACACTTTGTTCTTTCTATAGATAGCAAGCACAACTGTTAAAATTAATAATTTATATAGACTTCAACAGCTTGCTCTCAGGCAATCTTGATTAATTTCTGTTGGAGCCAGAACTGAGAAAACGAGTGTCATTTTTTTCCTCACACACCTTTCTCTCCACAATTAATCTTTATCAGGGACTCACGTGAGTTGATGTGCATAAATTCTGCACGAATAGTTAGAACATTCTTAGCAGATAAACTAGTCTTCTGTAGCACATATGTCTTTAAATACGGTTTGAAACAATGAAGTTCACACTAATATCAGGGAATGGATTTTTCACTCTTCAAAATTTTTAAAGCAGATGAAGCAAGCTGCTTTATCTTCGTTTTTAATTGTCAAGTTCAACAGAGGTATCTAAACAAACAGGTCTCAACTGGCACATGGATCTTCTTCAAGTACTTTGTCTGATTTTTTGTATGCGGATTTTTATAACCTTAAATTTATTTATATTTGTGCCTCTTTATGTGCCTTTTACATGTTCTAAAGGACCTTCTTCCAAAAACTGTTCTGTGATTTTAGAGCAGCTTTGAACATTTTCAGATACGCTGTATTATTATTAGATATAAAAACAGACAGTAGGAAATCCATGATCCTTTCTACTTATGTAGCTCTAGCTCCATGGGAAATTGATCTTAAAAAGAATACCCACTACTGCCATAATGCCAATTAACATTATTTCCACTAGGGCAAAGCTAACTCAGAGAGAGATATACAGAAAAAACATTTGCCTTTAATGCAAGAAACATACTACAAAAAATGCAAGATTTATACTTTAAGTAACAGAAAATGCTGCAATTCTCAAAAGTTTCCTTACCTGCTCTACGCCAGAATTTCATGTGTTTAATTCCAACTGTAATCAATTTATCAGGCATATAAGGATTAATCTTAACAACAAAAATCTTATCTTTGCTTCCCCTGAAATGCAAAGCAAGATATTTTAAGTAAAAATATAACTATTCATACTTTTAAACAGGTTTTCGTTTGGAGTTTTTTTGCTAATGTATACCTTCTCTATCTTGCTAACATCTACTTCCAAATCATTAACAATAATTTATTATGAGGACGAAGAAAGCCAAAGAACTAAAATACTGAGTCCTGTTCTATTTTCATTATCTCTCAGTTTCCAAAGCAGGTGAGTAATTATATTACTTCAGAAATCCACTAGGTGGCATTTTCTTTGCAAAAGAATATATATTGGCATTAAGTTTAGGTTTACGGCATTTAGACCTCTGACAACTCATAATGCAACTTAAAAGGTGTAAAGTTGTAAATTTTATTTAAAAGTCTCTCATTTTGAAAATAAACTGCCATTCTTATCCACCTTTTAATCGATTTTTCTATTTTTCTTGTTAGAATAAAACATATGCTGCTATATCAATTTTAAAATGGAAATTTCAGTTGTTTCTGAAAACATTAAAACCTGTTGTGTGTTTTAGATTTCTTACTATGCTTCTATAAAACCAATGCCTTGCTTCAATCCTATAGTTTGAAAAACAGCTTTCAACTATGTTTGCTTACTAGCAAAAAGAAATGCTTATTAGTAGTGGGTTTTTTTTTTTTAAAATGCAGAAGAGCCTCTTCTAATTTTTGCTCCCTGTTCAAGAGTGGCAATAATCTTTTACCTTCTGTCCTTTTCAGACCGCTAAATGAACTAGTAGCAAAAACCATGAACCAGTTTCTTTCCAAACTCACACTGTAATCTTCAAAGTATAGATGCTGCTCTCAAAAATTCTATTCAATTTCTCTGAGTAGTTAGGAGAAAAAACACTCCAGAAACTAAAACTGGCATAAACTGGTTAAAATTTGATTAAAAAAAAAAGAATTAAGTGAGATTGGTGGGTTCAGAGAGCAGGGGAATTTTAAAAAAAAAAAAAAAAAGCGGGGGTGGGGGGACGGAAATCATGTGAAAGGCAGACAAATGAAAAGCCCAAACCAGTATCTTCAGAGAAGCCAAGCTAACTGGGGTTCTGACAAGTAACTGGAAAGGGAGTACTCTCCTTTATCTATATCATCTATTCAGGATTTTCATTCCTCAGTGGATAAGAAACTTAAAGCATGATTAAAAGAAAATGAGAGAAAATCAGAGTAAAATGTCATTGAAGAGCAATAATGAACTTAATGGATAAAAAGGAAGTTGATACTTTTAAAATTGTATCTGCAGAGAACAAAAAATCCCTTTCAAACCTACCTAGAACAATATTTAGAGTATACATACTGAGTCCAGACAGAGTGGGGGAAAAACCCACACATTACTGCTCTATGTAAAGCAATATATCCTTAGAAACAACAAAGTCAAAGGTTTCAAAAACATTACTCAACATTAGAAATAAGATTCTATCTTGCAGATTAAAATACTGTTTAATAAACGTATATGAAATAGTCTGCGCAGAGTCAAAGAAACTTCCAAAATATTTAACCTTTGGAGGTTATTTAGTCCAACTTCCTGTTCAAACCAGAGCTAACTTCAAAGTTAGATCAGGCTACTCAGGACCCAGAAAGGAAAAGGAAAGAACCTTGAAGAAAAGAGAACTGAGCAAAACAACTGCAAACTACTACCCTAAGACAGACATGACCTCTGATGAAAAAGATCTGAAAAGCAGAGCATACATCACCATCTCTGGGAGGGCCAAGAGAAGTGACTTTTAAAGAAATTATTTCAGAACACATCAAATAAATGTAAATAAACTTTGTTTTCTATGTCTTCTTTCTTCACCAGTTGAGCTGTCACTGTAATAATTCTTGTTGACTCTATCAGAGCTTCAGTTTCTTCTTCCAAAGGAAGTTTTAAGGCTGTGCCAAATGTTATTGGCTGTATCACTTAAGTGATAGAAACTGCTAATTTATTAGAGAACTATTATTCTTTAATGAATATATTTTCCTTACTGTCATTTTAGAGTAAATCTAGGTACAAATTTTAAAACAAAGTTAAATTCCTACCTTACTGCTGAAAGCTTTTCTCCTTTCTTCCAATCCCAGAGTACAATAGTGTGATTGTCATCTATTCCAACAGAAGCCAATCGCTTCCCATCCGCTAGAAAATTAAATTTATGATTAAGAGAGCAGATAAATAACATTATGTTGCAATAATAAGAAACCATATTAAAGAATATTATAACTTCACAAATATTATAAGAAGTATGTACAAACAGGTAAATAATTGTATGACGTGTGCTTAGATGCACGTCTGTTGTCTGTTTGCTTTTAAACTTAAGTGGTCAGTTGGATGGAGTTTAGGACTTTAAGTTACCCTGTCTAAAAATTACACTTAGATCCTGTGTTTGTACAAATCCTTTGTTCAGCTAGTTGCTGACATAGTTGCACAAAAACCTTTATCACAGGTTGTACTGTGAAAATATTCTGTTCACTCTGAAAATCCCCGTTCATTTCTAAACAGGAAAACATTGAAGCAATACCATGGAGTTTATGAAATATCCTTAAACTTAGTAATAGTGTGAAGTCTTTGAGAAGCTCCAACACATATCCCACATTAACCTCCAAGAAAGAAGTTATTTGTGCTCACTCGTGATCAATGACTTTCTGACATGTATCCATTTTTGAAATTGCTATGCATCCATGCCAGAATTTGGGAAATGAGATTGACGCCTTGAAAAAGGAGAACCAAAGAAAGGTAAGAAGCATCAAAGACTCCAAACTACTCATCTTTGTGATCACACATCTTCACTGTGAGGTAAGAGATCCTATCTAGTAAATCCAAACCATTAAAGAATGAATAGAAGCCAGTGGAGAAGAGGAAATTTAACATTGGTAGAGGAATTCAATGTATGGGGTGCAAAAATCTCAAAAGATTTAACTGACAGTCTCTTATGTTAGTATAAGGTGGAGAGAGAGGCTGGGTTTCTGCCCAGAACTCCATAACTGGACTTTCCGAATTTATGAGTATGCTACCCAATTGGCTTGCAGCATTTAATTAAAAAAAAAAAGTGCACACCTGATCAATTTGCTCAAAAATTTGCTTACACAGTTGTAAGGCAGACACAACACTGTGCACCTGCCTCATACAACCAAAAGAAATTCCAAAGTGATCAGCTCAGCTATTAAACAGCACAGAACTTTTTCTTGCATTTCCTGATGTGCAAGACTCCAAGGACCTCTTTTTAATGAATATCTTTTTAAGACAGCCTCTCTCATTTGACATTGATCACTGGAGAATATTTTTAATGCAAAATCTTCAGTGTAAAGGAATTCCCAATTGCTCATTAGAACTGATTAGCTTGTATTTTCATACAGAAAAGGAAAATTGTACATAAATAGATAAATAAATACTTATTACCTGAAAAATCAACAGCACAAACACCATACTGATGATAGCCCTTTAATACTGAGAGTGGTTTTATTGTTTCTGTATCCCAAATGTGTATTGAGGAATCTCGACCAACCTGAAAGTATACATATTTATAACTATTTTTTTTTTATTTCTCAGTTACTTTACACTGTTGTTTAAAAGTATAATATTGAACAAATACTTTAAAAAGTATTTGAAAAAATTTACAGTGATAAAATTTTCCTAGTATTATTTCTGTCTGTCTAGCAGTGTACTATTCCTTCTTCTGCTTTACACATACAACTCCCCAGCTGGCTCGTTCTTCCTTCCAAAGAACTTAGGCACATTAATCACAATTAACTAGAATCCTCTTGTGGGGGCGAAGCCCTTCATTAATTGCACTGTGGCATATTTATTCCATCAATTCTCTATCAATCATTCCCTGTCTAAAAATAAAAGGTTATTTTTATTGCTAGTATGTAAGCTACTCTATGTTTGAGAAATCAAGGTGACTTCTGTTGCTTTGTGGTGTCATTACAAGTGCCTACAAGTCAGACTCTAATGCACTGATACCTGTGGAGTCATCTCCACTAGAATGGCACTAATGCAGGTAACTAGAACTTGGTAAGAAATGGAATATAGCTTATTCTTTTCAACTACATACAAGCGTTATTACTCAATATTTACACGATTATCTGCTATTCCAAAGGTTTTGCACCTCAGTACACAAAAAAGGGCTGCAAAACCAGAAGAACACTCTCCTGTATTTAAGACCAGGGGCAGGACCCAAGAAAACTAGGATCTATTTCTGGTTTTGCCCTGAAACGTCATATCAAACCTTCAAGTCCTGGTGTACAAGCATTTATGGGAATAGATGTTTTTCAGAAAACATGAGTGAAAAAAAATTTACCTAAAATTACTGTGTGGCAAAAGATAAACGAACTATTATAAATACTTCAGCAACATACATACCTGTGTTGCATGTACAAACAGTAAACAGTTTGGCTATAGGCGATAACCAAAAACATAATGCATGAAACTGAAATGCCAGAATGTAATAACAACTGCTAACTTCATGTTATGTAATAATACATGAACATAATAATAACATAGCTAACTTCACAACTAAGATACTTAAAAAAACATTGTAATTGCACACTTCCTCCACTTGTCATCATGAAGCAGCAACATAATGCTGAATAAAAAACATGAATCTATTCTCAAATAAAAAAGAGGTTCAAAACAACTATCAACTAAAGACCCTTATCAGAATTAATATGAAGAACTGGAAAAAAAACCTTATGTTGCAGTTTTTTAACATGATTCCATCTGCAACAGAAATGCAGTCCTTCACCTGAATAGATGTAGACTGGACTTCCTTCCTCCAAAACAGGCTTTTCTAAATTCAGTAGTAACAACTTCAGATTCTTACTGCAGATAAACACGCATCCTACCTGGCCTGTTGCCACATAGTCCTTTAAGGGATGAATAGCAAGGCAAAGAATGTCATCATCATGACCTAGATAAAAGCGCTGTGTGTTCTGCTGTCGATTGTACACCACTCCCACTGCTGCAACATGGTATACAATTTCACCCGTCTGAGTGTAAAATAAATTGCTTCGACAGTCGTAACCTCTGTAACTAATTAAAGAAAAAAAGTTGTTCATCAAGGTCATAACCATATATACTGAAACTTTGAGATAAAATTATGCAAGATGCATTTTGCACATGTAAAAACTCAGATTACTTACCAATTACTGTTTTGATGTTTTAAGATTATTAACATATTTTCCCAAAGGAACAACAATTTATCAATTTCATTTAGTATTCAGACATCAGTACTACTAGCATTAGTTTGAAAGTGGCTGCTATTTAATAGTTACTCTCCATGACTAGTTTAGAAGAGGAAGTAATAGCTAGTGATTTTTCCAGATCACATGGAGAATTCGGGCATGCAACATGTAATTAAATGAAATAGCCAAAACTAATAGTTTGGACATTTTCTATCTTTTACTGCTCAAAAATCAGGCAGGAAAAGTTTCCTCAAGAATGTGGACAACACAGATATCATAAAATTGAAAGTTTCTGGAAACTTGCTAACAGAAATCAAATGCACAAATTTTCTTCCAGAACAGTTTCTTTTTTGAAGGAAAACCTCTCTCCTTTCTGTACCAATACAGCAACTGGCACGAGTAGGCCAATTCCCTACTGAGGTCTGTATACACTATCACAGTACACACATTTCTTCCTAGGTGTGCCACCTTTGGTTTTTATGTTCTCTGTTAAAAATACTGGATTTCCTTCACAAGTGCAGAATAATTAAAAAAATACTGAATATTCACTCTAAATGAGAATATTTTAAAAAGCAGCTACAAAAATATGTACACTGAAAGAAATTATGCTTTAGAAATACTGGACATCGAGCAATTTCTTAGAAGCTTAGCAGTCACCTACAAAAGTAAAAAGCATTAAGACAGCAAAAGGGTCTCAGATCCTTCTAGCTGCAACCCACAAATCCAGAATTTTCCCAGCTCTTGTCATAACAATTGCCTATATACCCTAAGTTAAGCCTAGTGAAACTGAGTACGTTAATGCCATATATCACAGGACTACCCAAAACATCCAAAATGTATCTAGGATGCAGGAAAATAGTTCTTATTGCTTGTATCTATAACTTTTTATGATCAGAAGTTTGGATTTTAGTTCACTTCCTCCAGTTATAAAAAAAATAGGTGTACAATCAGTTGTTTACAATTAAAATAAAACATATTTTGCCAAAATAGCAAGCATTGCAAACAAAGACATTTTGTAACCCAGTTAAACACATCTGGTCTTTCCCACATGCCAGTTTTCTAACTCCCTGACTATACAGGTACTTTTCACCAGAACGATAAAGTGATGAACTTAGACAGTCCAAGCAGAGATGAAAAGCAGCATGTTTCAGTGTAGAAGATCATACTCTGAGAATATGCTACACAGTTCCAAAATACTTACATCTCCATATTCTTAAACCAATTTAGAGCTGAGATTATTAGCTAATCTCAGAAAAAGCATGAAGAGAAACAATTTCTTCGCATGCAGAAAACAAACCACAGAAGTAATTTACAAGGCATCTTGATTAGCAACTAGAAACTAAATAATAATGAAAGCAAGCTTTGCAACATAGCTTCTGGATAATATATAACAAGGCACAATAAACATACCACTGCATTCTGCAGTAGTTGATATTTTCAAGTGATCTTCACCAACAGCTAATCAAACCATCAGTCCAGAACTGATTCAAGTTAATATGACAGTAACTTTCAGAAGAAAAGATAGCTAACTCAAATGCTACGCAGGAAAAAAATTTTGCCATTACCAAGGTCATGAAGAGCAGGTACTGGATTCAGTTTGAGATTAAGACATGTAAACGTAGGTGTTCACATGTGTGTTAGATATATATTTTAATATATACCATATTTTAATCAACATATTTTAATCAACATATTTTAATCAACATATTTTAATCAACAGTGTTCTAGTCAATACGGTCAGCTGAGTAGCCCTGCAGGTTCTAACTAGTCAGCACTTAATTTTACTTGAGCCAAATCACTCCTTATGCTCCACTGACTACTGACTGGAACTCCATTGACTGTGACAGAAGTTTAGATACACACATAAAACCACCTACTTTTAGGCACACAGTTGTAAATTCTTTAACCTGAAGCTGGACCCTACCCACAGTTGCAATTTACACATTTATAGCCAACTAGGGGCAACTTCACAAGTAGTGTCTTCTCTGGGAAAAGAGTCATGTCCATAGTTTGTCTGATGCTGTAAATGTTTCAAAATCTGTATGTTACTTTTCAAAGTATATATGGGAAATTTCTGAACATAATGCAACCCTCCCCCCAAAAATCTCCAGAAGAACCAAATGCTAAAACAAACATGGTTGAGGTCAGAGTCTCTAGCACAAAGGTAGAGATATTAAAAAAAAACAACAACAACAAAAAACTTTTGCATGGCAATGGTGTTTTCTCAACAGGACCCACTCATAGCCTACTCCCTTTAGATGCTATTTGTAGGTATTTGTAGCCCTCTGGTAGGAATCCATGCAAGGTGTCATAAGACTCTCATTTAAGAGCATGAGAAATCCCATGTCATCTTGAAACCGTAACCAAATTTAATCTTATGATAAGGTCAGTTCAATGAATATCCTGAAACTCAAACTAGAATTTGCTTAAATCCTTTGAACATTAAAAAAAAAAAATGTATCAGTCTTGTGAGATCAGCAGCATAGCTTTGAGAGAATACAGGACACATAAGCATTGTATTTGCATCCTTATTGCCTGCCAGCAAAAAGAAAGTATTATAAGCATTGAGTCTGAGAAAGGGGTTCCTCTGAATATCTCAGAAGATGTATCCTTTTTATGTTTCTGAACCACCACCACTGTCAAAGCCATGGCAGAAAGAAAATACAGGAATAGTCAAAAAGAGGCCAAACTAGTATACCACTTTAATAACGTGTTTCTGATCATGACTGCATCAGATCTCTTAGAGAAAGATGCACTTAAAGATTAACCTGTTAATAGAAGTTGCTTTCTCATCCATACTAGTCACTGGCTGGCTCACTCAGCATTACTGTTTTTATCCCCTTCCAAAACAGGAAGTAACCAGAGGTTTAAAGGATTTCTTAGAGGATACGAAGAGATTTTTAAAAGTTCATCTTTCAAGGCAGTTCACAAATTCAAAACACAAAGCCTATGTGCTCAAAAACAAAGAAAGGAAAAGGAGCTTCCTATTCCCCTAGTTCAAAAAAGCACCACTTTTTACACTTTCAAGGAACATCCAAGACATTTCCATTGCAGCTAGAGAAAGATGAAGCAAAGCAGACTTCCTGAATCAGAGAATATGCCTATTACTCACTTGGATGTGGGTCACTTTAAAAGTTAACAGCCTGGACATTGAGAAAAATCTGTTGTTCAGCATGGATTCTTCATTAGTTTCCTTGATGCCCATTGGGTAACCAGACAGAACTCAACTGGACATTCTACTTCTGGTCATTCCTGGATATTCTGGTCAAGCTTCACTTCTGTTGTGAAGGAAATAACAATAATCCCAAAGATCCAGGGCCCTTGCTTGTGCTGCATCTTCTTCAGGATCATTTGGTTTGATTCTTAGACCAAATTTTAAAGACTATATACAGCTACCCACCTTAATGCATTTTCTACAGATACAAAAATCTTCACCTGAGAATTCTGGAGCATCAAAAATAGAAATAAAAAAACAACTCTGTACCAAGCTTCCCAGTTGTCATTATTTCCAAAGCTATGCCTCAGACTCCATGTCTTCTACAGACAACATTGCTGAGTTGAGTGATTACCTATTCTTAGTCAATTAATTTATTAAGCATTCCATATGGAGCCCTTCTAAAATTGTTTGTCATTACGAAGATACACACTATCACTAACTTATCTGTGCATTTAGTTATCTCTAAAAAGAAATTGTATTCCTGCAAAGAGGTATCTTTTGAAAGGAAAACAGTGTTACCTGATTTCCAATGCCTTAATTTAATAAAGGCTTTGGTTTTCCTTTCTATCAAGGGAATTTATATTTCTGATCATTATTCTAATGTAGTAACATCTACTGCCAGTTTGCTTTAAAACACCAGGTCTTTGTCTTGATGAAAAAGTCTTCACCTATGAAGAGTTATGGGAGACTACCAATCCTAAAGACGAAATTGTAAGATTTCAAGGATGCATCTGAAAGTTACTTTGTTACTCAAATTAGCACCGGAAAGAGAATGAAACTGAATTTTAACATACTTACATGACCTATTAAGAATTAAATTTAACTCCTAAACTAAGAGAGGAACGTATAAATTGTTTCAGATTAGGTACAAACAGTTTATACTTTTTTTTTTAGTAAAACACTGATAGAAACACCACTTAGTACAGAACCCAGTTATCTTCAACTACACCAAGTTTCTGTCGTAGCTTCCAAAGTAATACACCGAAGAGAACCATTACTTTCCACATACTGAAAAATACGGGTGATAGCCAAATATTATATTTAGTCACCTCTATTCAAATAATAAGTTTCAGTGCAAATTCACTTCAGAATTCATGTTCAGAATTAGTCTAGCCCGACATCAAAGCTTTCTATTAACTCAGTGTAAATTTATTTTTACAGAAATAAATAAAAACAGTAAATCACAAAGCAACTGACCTAAAACTCTTTCATCAGATTATCAAATTATAAACACCAATCTACAAACACGAACAGTCTGCTTGTATATTTTAAAGAATCCTAGTTTTCATACCCATGAACAAAATGTAATCTTATACTGTTCCCTGGAGCTCGTTCTCGTCTCTTAGAAGCTGCACTTTTTCTTTTTTCTTTGCATTGCTCTTTAAGTTGAGGTAGATCTTCTTTGTAAACCTTTAAGAAAGAGCACACTTATAAATTAAGAGATTCATAAGAAAAGCATGTTTCTGAGAATTCAGCCACAGTTATCACCCACAAAAACGTTACACTGACATCACTGAAAAAAATCTCCAAAAACTGTAGCTGGTTATTGTATAGTGTAACTTGGTTTTAAATTACAACCAAAACTCTGATAGAACATGCTAGGAATACACTTTTTTCCCTCTATTGTATCTTAGAATTTTGAATGCATCAGATAATAATAATTCTAAAGGTTTTGGTCAGTTCCTGCTCTGCTCTCAGTCTCCCCAGTTTTCAGATTTCAACAGGTCTTCATAAAAGACCAACTCAAACCCTTGGAAGCATTCCAACTGCCATTAAAATAAAATCTTCACCTGTCGACGATAGGTGATCTGCGTCTCTTGTTCAATTTCAGAGTCCAGCTCTGGAACATCAGACTGATCTGAATCCGATTCATCACTATTAGAATCAACCAGACTCTCTGCCACCAAGAAAACAGAAAGAGAAAATGAAGCAACCTAAATTACAAACCAGAAAGTGTTTAAAGTAACTGCTTGATGTTTCTGATTTGATAATCAATGCTTATACTAATTAACATAAACTGCTAATGATTGACAGGCTGACAGGATCAATTCTGTTGATACAGTAGAAATAAGCCAACTTGTAAGCATGATAATTTTTTTGTTTGTTTTTGGGAGCAAGTTAGTTTTCATTCATTAAAATTATTTCATCAACATTAATGTTAGGAGAAAAGAAAGAAAGAAGAGAATGAAGCAATGAGTATAAAGCAGAAACTAAGACTCACAGAAAACTAACAAGAGAAGTAAAAGGCTCCAAAGAGAAACTTATGGTTAGGCAAGCCATTGATGTAAGTAGTAATTCTTCAGGTAGATTGGGGGGGGAGGGGAAAAATCATATATGAGAAGGAAGGAAGGAATTTTCGCTGTCTGTGGAGAAAAAGAGTAGTCATTTAATATTTCTGGTTTACATCTGGGGAAAGCCAGATAAATGTTGTAGAGTTTCATTCCAACAGAAACCGAAAAGAATGCCCTGGCTGATAAAAGATAATATATTTGGATCTTTCTGCAACCTTTGATTGAATGTTGCACATTTTTAAATTAAGAAACCAGACACAAAATCAGACTAGAACACAAATGGATTTTAAAAGATCTCAAAATGTAATTGCAAAGAGAGAATCACCACTCAGAAAGAAATGTTTCCAGGAACATGCAATAAAGAACAATCTTTGGAGCTATACTACTTAACATTTTCATCAGTGATCTAGAGAAAAACAATATTGCTACCAATAAGGCAGCAGATTACAGAGTTAGAAAAGCCATTAACAAGACAATTATCAATAGTGTGACAAAACAGATGTATGTTGCACATACTGTCAGATAGCCAGAAGTAAGGTTATATATCCAGGAACAAGGAATCTAAACAACACTTAACATACAGAAATTTTATCTTGGGAAGCAGTAGCTAATGAGAAATTTAGGTCATGGGAAATAATTAGTTGAAAATGAATTCACCCCATGAAGGATCAAACCAGGCTTTTTAAAGGCTTTTTGGAAGCTTCATCAAGAAGATGAAGAGAACTATTGCTTCTTTCTGCATTTGGCACTGACAAGGCCAGCACTGAATCAGCATTCATTTACCTATTAGCTGGGTCCACACTGATACATCTTCATCTCATCTTAGCAATAAAAGGGTGAAACAGCCTATTTCATTGTAACTCTATATATTGTAACTCTAAATATAGAGTGCCAGAGGGCACTCTAAATTCCTTTAGGAATTTCCAAGTGAGGCACGAGGCACTCAGTTAATGGTTTGATTTTGGGAAACTCAGTCATGAGAATAATTGCTGTATTAGTGACTGGTGAAAGCATTTTTTTCCAACTATTAAACAGCTATAGTCTGCTTTTAGAAAAAAAAAGTCAATTACAATGCTTAAATTATCATCTAAATACTTCAAAATTTTCATCAAATGAGTATATACATCTTTTTTTTTCAGTGACATCTGGGCATCCAGCTGTTGTCAATTTAGTAAAGGACGGTATGTACAGAATTCACAAATTCATATCTATGATCTGAACTTTTAAATTTTTCCTTTGCACAGGGAACATAGTGGTGAATTTTTTTCAGTCTTGCTAGACTGAGCATACAGGGTACAGGCATGTATTAGGCAACACTATCAGGTATTTCAGGCAGCTGCAAAGTTTAAAGAAAAACAATTTTGTGCAGACTGACAATTCTGAATATTTATTTCCATACTTGCACCAAAGAATTTTACTTCTCTTTTAGCCTCTCCTCCTCCCGCCCTTTTTTTTTTTTTTTTTTTTAAATAAGTTACTTACCTTGGGGTGCTATATGAAGAGAATCCTTCAACTTCCGGTCAGGGACAAATTTCCACTGAAAGACAGAATGATCAGCTCCCCCAATGGAAACAACCCACTGGTGATCGTGCGACCATCTGACATTTGTCACGTGAGCAGAATGACCAAGATATTTTTTAAACTTTGCTCCTAGAACAAGAATAAAAATCTCTTTCAATATATGTGGAATAAATGTTTCAGAAGTACCTCAGGAAAATGTATCAAGAAACTCTTATAAAAAGTAATAGTTTAATTAAGATATGCTAATTGCTAGTGATATTTTAATTAATAGCAGCAACTTTTTGCAGTATTCCCAAATTTTAATCTGTCTTTAAGATAACTTTTAAAATTTGGATTCCAGGATATAGTATCTTTAGCAAGTCAAACACAAAGAGAGAAGACATATGATAGTGCTGTATGAGGGGTACTAAAGGAAGATTTTTTAAAATTTTATTTTATTTTATTTTTTACAAACCAAGGTTTTGCCAATTATTATTTCTACATTGAAAAGATGCAGTTATTTATATGTTAAACGATGTATATTTAGCTCTGTGAAAACACCCCCATATGTGTGCTCGTAGCACTGGTTCCCACTGTTCATGCAATTTGAGTGCTAAGCACTTCTAGCAATTCATAGCAATACTACCTTTAGTAGTAATAGCAGTAGTAGTAGTGTAACTACATCAAGTTAACGTTTTCACTATCACATAATTACAACACAATCATTGGATCAGTTACTAAAAAGAAGTTCCTAACAGCACTCCATTATACAGATTCTTGTGCCTCTTCTTTGGTTTTATAATTCTAGTGCAAAATAGAGGATAAAAAGGGAACAAATTCAGTCTCCTTCAAATGGACAGAAGGCTGTTATCAAGAACATATTTTTGGATTATTTCAGGTACCAATAAAAGCCTTATCACTTGATAAATAAAACTGGAAAGATTGAAATGAAATGTTTTTTAATGTCACCTTTTACAAAAAGAGTTGAAAAAATTATGGGGGCATATCAATCATTAAAAAAAAAAAAAAAATCATTTCTTTAAGCACATATTGCTTGAAGACATATCCTAAGACCAATCATGAATCTCATGCGGTTGTAGCCAGCATTAAACATGCAATGCTGCAAACTGCAATGATGCAACAGTGCAACTTTTTGTTTCCCCTTTCAAAACTTAGAGATTTGATCTAGTCCCCAGGCAAACTTTTGAGGTTAAGAGGAATCTTCTTAAAAGCTAGGGAACATTTCACAGGCTGGCTTTCTCTGATCATCATCATCATCATTTTACCAGCTTGAAGACAGAGATCTCTGCGATTGATAATTTGTTACAGTTCAACTTGAATGGTGTCTAGAAAGGAGTTCTTCAAACAGCTCTGAAAAAATGAAGCTTTTCTTGTCTGAAAAGATACACATCTCTCCCCTGTTCACTCAGTCCTGAACAGTAAATTTGCAAATTACACACCTTGCTTTAGGCTTCAGTTTTAAAAATTTCACATGAGATTTGTCCTATTGCTAGTAAAATTTTGAGGAAAAATGTGTTGGAAAAGTTTTTAAACTTCAAATAACATACAGTGGCATACTCTGATTACAGGACCAATTTGCTGTTCACTTATTTATGGCTTGTAATCATTTAGTAAAGTTATTTTTTCTAGTTTCTAGCCCAAATCTCTACCACAGATCCAGAGGAAGGAAGAAAACTACCTGAAGACCAAGGTGAAATACTTAAAGATATGTATCTCATAAAAGGGTAGATATTGCATCACCTCATGAAATTCTATCAAAAAAAAAAAAAAAGGGAGAGAACTATTTTACAAAATAAAACATATGCAAAACTTTTGGCTATCCTATTCAAAATGCAAATAAAGTACTGTTACTATTACAGTTGTCAATACACCAGCCCATTATTGTTTTCTACCTTTGAGCTCAAACTAAGCTTCTAAGAATAAATATTGGCCATTTATATAATTATCAAAAACCCAGTTTTCTAAAACCTTTTTCTTGAATAACCAAAATTCAAAAATATACATTTATAATTGAACTTAAAGGTACTACCTTTTCTTAGACACGGGTATCGAAAGAGCTTTACTATTCCATAATCATCAGCTGTAACCATAACTTGCCCAATAAAATTTGCATCCACAGAATTTATATCATTTATATCTGAATATTTGGGCCAAATTCCATTAACTTCAAGGCCAGAAACGCAGGTCCATGATGCCCACTGAACGCCTTTTAATTCCTCTTTGTTTGTTACTTCTTTTCCACCTAAGAACAAAAATAAGGACCTATTTTTTAATATTCACTTATGCAATTTTAAAGAATGTAAAATTTTTTAAAATTCTCCAGAAATCAAATCTAAGTGAGACAGAATTAAAAACTGACTTCTAAAACTGTCCTGATCCAATATGTTCTACTATGACCAACAGTATCAGTAGTAAGGCTTCTCAAGACTGCTTAACAGAAGATCATGGGTTTGGTACTTTACAATTTTTATTATTTCTTGGTATCTGCTTGAGACTGTGTTATTTTAAAATGTTTATCAAAAAATACATGTAGTCATTCTAAGATAAAGTTTGGAAAAATTCTGTTGCTGAACTATTCTAGAAACTTGGATTATTTAGAGCAAAAACTGAAGAACTCATTTAGATCTGGCCACTGTAAATTACTGAAAATACCAATTTTATGCTTAGATCCTTGTTACACTATTTCACATCAGCTCTATCTGTAATAAGATTGCTGCAATCTCAAAGTTTCATGTAAGAGTTTAAGTACTGAATCAGACCGAAGGCCCATTTAATAAATACTGTGTCTTCAGGAATGGCCGGAAACAGTGCCGGAGCAACACAAGGACAATGCAAGCAAATGTAAAAGTTGTGAGTCAGACTGAGTGTGCAACTGCAGAACCTGAGCAGGACACTGCCAACAATTCACCTCTCAGTCTTCCGTGGTAACAAAATTGAAGGCAACTGGGCTGGGTTTTTTCCTGTTTTCTTATTGTTAATAGGATTCTGACTAGTGGGAGGGGATGTGATGTAGGGAGGAGCAGCCTCAGGTACTGTAAAGAGGTAAGTTTTCAACAGAGAGATAGGGCAAGGAAGAACTCAAGTGGACTGGAATAAACAGAGTAAAGAAAACAGCCATAGAGAAAAGGTAAAGCAAAATAAATAAGAAAGGAAGACTTAAAAAAACAAACAAACAAAAAAACCACAACAAAACCCACACTCGAGGAAAAGTTCAACTACTATATACCCCTCCAAAAACTGGAAAGAAACTCAAGTGCCCTGTTTGAATACCCTTCAGCTCTGATGAAATAACTGCACCCTTTGACAAGGTTTACCTTGTAATCTCTTTCAATCACTAATCCATGTAAATGATGACTACTAATACTGGTTATATCCATGACTAAGTCCTACAGATCTTGTATTAGGCAACTGTATGTTCCTTATTCATTTATAGTGGAATTTCAAGTGTTACATGATTCCAATCATTATTCTAAAATATTTAGGAGATTCCTCTAACTTCACTGACTTCGCTAAACTTTTTTCATAAACAAGCTTCACAATCCCACATTCTAATATATCAAGAAACTCCAGGCTGAAAACTGCCTAAGTAACTCCAAATTGCTCCTCCTGCGTGTACATATTTGTTACAGTCTAATTAAATTTTCACTTACTATCTTTTTTTACATATCTTCTGTCTCATTCAGTGCACAAAATCAAACTTGTGCATAGAATGAATTAGATGCTTCAGCAAACACAGTCACAAAAAGCTCCATGGAACTATGAATAATGTACAGTGAAAGCGTAAATATTGTATAAAAAATGAAGGGACAATATAGTAAGCGGTGATGATAATAAATACTTACTACAAATACAATGAGTAGGAAAAATATAGAATGATATTATGTGAAGAGTGTAAACATGCAGAAGAAAAGTCAAACCTTGTGACAAACACTGCCCTTGACATATTGTAATCAAGACTACTTAAATTTGAAGCTTTAAGTACTATGCACATATGTCCTCTGCAGAAGGAATTGTCTTGATGAAAACTGTTTCAAGAGTATGGGACAATTCAGTCAAGTGTTCAAGACAGTGTTGGCTTGAAAATATTTACAATAACGCAGTCGTCACAAACTTTGAATCTGAAAACTGTATTTTAATATTATGTAATATACTAATTTTCTTTAATAGTCCCCTGCCATAGAAGAGAAAAGACACATTTAAACTTGTGTTATCACTAGACTGCCCAGCTAAATTTCATTTTGATATTTTTATCCATTTTGAAGGTTGCATGATTGAATCATATACGTATCACAGGTTCAATATTTCTTTTGTTTCCAGTGAGTAATTCCTAACATTCTGGCATCCTTGTATCAGGTATTCTTATTTTCTCTACAGTTATCTAATCCCATTATACTTCCAAATTCATTTCATTCCGATTGTTTCTACCTATTACAAATTTCTCACTGTAAAAGCTCTTTTAAGTTAAATTCCTCAGTTCTGCTGCAAACATAGTTCTAGAAAACCAGATGACTCTTCCGAGATGCAACGTATTGATTTTTCCACACATTTAAAAAAACATACAGCACAAGCAAATGATAATCCATTTGATATCCAAACTCAGTAAGTACAAATCTATCAAGCTATTGCAAAATTGAATTCGAATGCAATATTTTTCTTTTTCTAAAAATGTGGGAGCAAAGATTTAGTTTTGAGAAATAAAATAAATTATAAGCCAGCATCTCTACCATGAAAAGATGCATTATAAAGAAGAGTAAACATATAAGGATAAAAATATTTAAGTAACTTCACCAGAAAATGCTGTACTTATTCAAATATAGCAAAATCTTATACAAACTTAGAAAAAAATTTCTCTGTAACCCAGTGCTTTGAACCAGGATCTATATTTGGCTGTTTTTACAAAACTACTATACATCTTTCTGTAATAAGCAACAAATATAAAGGCAATTCAGAATCTTACTTGGCATCCTGTAAAAAAGTCTCTTCCCATTGCCATCATTGGTCTGTAAGTATTTACTGTCCGAAGACCAATCCATATGGGTGATGAAACTTAAAGATCCAATACATTCCCCAACTTTCTTGTATCGTTGAACAACACCATATATATCCACAGAGCTGTCATTGGAACCAACAGCTAGGAAATTCCCATCTGGTGAATATTTCAGTTCATGAATAGCTTCTTTCCTGTCTTTGATATGAACAACCTCAGTCATATCTCTGTAGTATGAAAGAAAGCATGTCATAAGTATAGAAGAGCCTTATCATACTGTCAAGTTCCCAGTTTTAAAAAATGGACAAAATTGTGAAATGATGAAGTGAGCCTTAGTATCATATATGCAAACACAAACACTGCTATTTTTAGAGATGGGTAGGGCTTCATGGCCAAAAAAAAGAGAAGGGAATATCGACATAAGAAGGTGCTGCACTGGGCTGAGGGAGAGCGAACAAAAGGAACTGTTCAAGCTGGGGCCACAAAAAACAATTAATCAGGTAGATTACCAGATCTTTATTCACTCAGGGAAGAAAACTTCATTGACATGAGATACAGATCTCATTTTCCCTTTAAAACTGTGGGATCACAGCACCAAGGCAGCACTGTTTTTGTATGCATGATGTGCTGACAGCAGCATTCCAACACATGGAAACAATTTAGGAAGTAAAGAAAATTTATTTCTTAATAATTCAAGAATACTTAATAAAGCTAAAACCTAAAGCAAAACACTTCCTAGAACACTACCATTCTTTGCAAATAGACCAATATATTTTTTCAAATGTGTTGTTATGGAACAACATGAACACACATTTAAAAAATCTGAGCACCCTCAAGATCAGTAATTTAGAACAGAAATGTAAGTGACCTCCTCATGTATGGTCACTACAGTGTCAATATACATACAGTTTATAAAAGTAATGAGATAACATGCTTGAAAGAGTTAATAATGTATCTATTTTTAATTTTTGTAACATACCTGACTCGAAGCACAGTGAAAGAGCCATCCTTCATTCCAAGAGCGAGGTGGATTCCGTCAGTACTAACCGCGGCACAGCGAATGGGTTCCTCCATATTGCACCGGGCAATCAGAGCATGGTCTATTAAACTCCAAATTCTAAAATAAAGTAATAATTACAAATTTAGAGAGTGGTTTGTAGCTGTGTCATAGATAGCATGAAGCCTGCAATTTCTGCAGAATGCTGAACGTGGTAGTGTCCTATTTTAAAATAATTTTCCACAAGGAAAATCCAAGACAAAAGTGTAAATTTTGCATCCAACAAAGAATATTCTTATATTTAAAATAGCGAGAAAATATCTAATGAGAAAATATGGGGCAGATTAATTTTGTTTGACTTTCTGAATATAAAAAGAATGACAACGTATGACAATATATACTTTGAGACCACTCTGTGAAAATGCCACTATTTTGTTAATCATTTTAGCCAAGAAGAACATTAAAGAACAATTAAAGACTTTGCTCAGTAAACACGTCCTTTCCTATTAACAAGTCATTATTCATAACTCCTTACATACAACTACATAATATTATAACATGTAAGTTTTTACTACAAGATACATTACAACATCTATCATTTACAAGATATATCTGGAATTCTAGAGCATTATTTCAATATTCATAATTCAACTACTGTTTTGCTTAACCCATGTGACACTTAAGATATCTAACAAAAATGCCAACACATTTAATTTTTAAGAAAGAAGAGAAAAGGTGTTTTTAACAAAAAAAGATGAACTTGTAAAAGGGAGTAATCTACCGGGTTTTCTCCGAATATAGATTCTATTTACTATGCATGCATTAAGTTTGATGAAACTCACAAGCTAAAAGTTAATTCGCAGCATGTGAAGAAGTGAATATGGTAAGAGTAAAAATTCTAAGTTTTTATTACAATTTTTTTTCATTGTAACCTGTGAATGCCTAACATATCTCCTGAAAAGGAAACACAAGATACTTGTGTATGAGTGCTTAATGTTAAGCTAAATGAAATTTGTTTAAATTTTGTACATTTCATTTTTGTGAAATATACATTTCCATTATATTTTATTACTGGAGAGCACTAATTTCATGCATAACTTAACTGGTTCAGAAGCATTTCAAAGCCACATTTTAATGACTTTAAAATGCATACATTTCAATTAGGTTATCCACAAAATGAGCTGCTTGTATAAGACTGTACGCAGTTAAACAAACAAACAAGATTTAACCTGACTGATCGATCATCACTTCCAGTCATTGCTAGCGGTTTTGTAGGATGGACAGCCAAAGCCCACAGCTCTCCTTCACAGTGCCCCTGCATTATCAGGAAAGGCTTATTACGCTCATGCACCACAATTTCAAAAATTTCACTATCTTGTGTCCCGACGAGTATATGGTCTCCTCTCCAGCAAACACTTCTTACAGACAGACCTGTAGAAGAGATTGTTACTGAGAGATACATCCTGAGAATTTGTGAAACAAAGGTAACATAGCACATGACAAAACATAAAAGAAGAAAATGTCGAGAAGTATCCATATACATTCTCTTATTCCTCCATTTACTCCTTTTATCTATTCCATATAACACATACTGCCCTTGGAACATTAACTTCTCAAGCTTAATATAACAAAAATTCTAAAATAAAATGTGAGCCTTATTTTAATAAAGGACATGTTTAATAAAGGACTATTCTTGTATTACAAGATCTCTGACAGAGAAAGAAAATACTGACATTTGCATCTGAAATTATGCACTTAATGTCTTTAAATTTCAACAAAGGTAGCAGACAATATAAATTACAATTTCTGATCAAACCATGGACCTTAGTACTAGCTAGATGAACCTAAATTACATAAGTGACAGAAGCATCAGTGGAACATGCCCAGCTCGTTTCCAAGATGCTCCTCTAAAGCAAATCTTTGTAACATCTTAATACTATCTGGAATTATTTTTCCCACTAAATAGAAAATAAAAATAAATCAAACTGAAACAATATATAAAAAGATGAAAAGGGTTTATGATGGAATTCCACATGCATTTCTAACAACTGAATTAGTTTCCAGGCTTCAGTGGAGGTGAGCACTCACAGGCTGCACTTGTTTGTAGATAAGGTTGGGAATAATAAAATGGAAGTTAGGACAGTTGTACACTGAGAACCCAGTCTTCGGTGCCCAATTTTAGGAATACGCACCTTTTAAAACAGGCTGTATTTATTACATTCTGGTAGTGCCACTCAATTTTGCCAATTTCTGGTGTAGATAACCAGATGGTAGCAATGCCTACCTTAATTCACTTTGCCGAAACACTGACTTTTGTGGAGAGTAGTTCAAGAATGATCTTTGAAAAACTACTCTGGAGTAATACATGAGACAAAACTATATCTATCAGACAAGAGAAAGGAATGTTGTAATGGTATGAGTTGACATGCTTCTGAAAAATATTTTTAACTATGTAGAGGGAAAAAAAGAGCCTTATGTTATTAAATTTACATTGGAAAAAAATTGCAACTCGGAAACAATGAATGGGTGGGTTAGCAGGCCACTTCTGTGCATCTGCACTGACGTTTTAATTCTGACAAAGCTAGCTTTCAGAGCAAAGCTCCTGATCATGCCTACTTACCATGCTTTGCATTACAAGATAGCCTTCAAATGCACAAATAAGACTCCCTCCATATGAAACAGAACTGAAAGCTGTGCTCCAGGAGTGCACTCCAACTGCAATACAATGTTCAGTCCACTGAACCAGACTAGAGCTACCACCCCTCAAAATGCATATATATTGTGCTACTCTAACTCTCCACACCAACTGCTTCGCTTCACAGATTTGTTCCTATTGTGCTTCACCGGTGAATATAACCACCTTACCATTCAGCCCTACAATCTAGACACTATATGGCTATATTGTCTACAATGATTAAAAAATAAAGAAAAGAGAAAAAAACAGGATCTTTGATGAAGGATGATTAAGACATCTGTTTTAGTAATTTGGAACTTCTTATGGTGGAGGGAGGTATTTTGAAAAACAATTTGACTAATTGGAGATGTATCTAGAGTCAACTAATTGCTCTGCGAGCCATTCACAGGGATACAGAACTTGAGTTTGTGTTCACAGATAAAATTACCAAGAGGGGCAGCAGAAAATGCAATTAAGAAAACAAATAGAAGGACAGGTCATAAAGGCAATCCTCAAAAGGATACAAGAAAAAAAGACTGAAGGGAAAAGATTCAGGAAACTGATTTTATTAAAGATAGGATTTTTAAAAAGCTATTAGCTCTGTCATGGGCATTTGACAAGTCAACAAGATGAGGATGGTGTTCACATAAGTGATCACGAAGAACCAAAAGAGTTCATGGCAAGAGTCTGTTCCATCAAAAGTAAAGGAGACAATCTGGAGTGGAAAACGAGTTTGAAAGAATGAAATGGGGAATGAAACACAGCTTTCAACTACATGCAACAGAACTGAGAAACAGCAGCTGAGTAAATTTAAATTTGAAACAGAGTCACTGTACCGCAGGGCATTTAAAATGCAACGTATTCCATCTTGTTGCAATATTTCACAATCTTGGTGGGAATGCCAAGTCAATTACAGAATACAAAGATTTAACTCGTAATCAGTTATTTATTGACCCTGAATATCTGATTGCCATCAGACATTCCACCACATTGTCAAATTCTTGGCAAGATACTAGAAAATAACAAAGTGACTGGGAGCAAAGAAAACCAAGTGGCAACAAAAGCAATATTGTAACTGACATTATACGTTTGTATTCTTTTCCTGAATCACTACAGCAACAATATCTAGAACACTGACAAAACATGCTATAGACTGCTAGATGTAAAATTTTAGCATGACATAAACTGTAATTGAAGTCATAGGTATATGTAAGCAGCATTCTAAGTACTACGAAACTGTAATTACTTCCAAATAGTTTTTATGAAAATTTGGATAACTAGCAAGTGCAATTTCTGTACTCCACTGTTTTACATTGTAGATCTCACTGTCTCTTCTAAGTTCCGTTAAAACATTACTGTTCCTTGTTAAAAACTGCTGTGCTATAGAAAAAATGTGCATTTCATTGGTTTAAAAAAAAAAAATTAAATCTCTGTGTCTACAACTTCATAGTATGTTTTATAGTAACTGTCAAGGACTATGTGACCTTCATACTAGTGGGCATGATCAAATTTCTTTTCTAGCAAATAGTTCACAGTAACATACATGAAACAACCTTTTTGGTTTTTTAAAGTCTTTTCTTGTTCAAAACACTGGTAAATTTCCTACCTTATTGGTATATCAAAAGTGACAAACATCTTTTTACCTTTATATCCCTGATCTGTTTCCCTGAGATCAATCACAGTAATCGGTTTAAAATTTAAGTCCCACAAGCGAACACAGCCATCTCTGCCACCAGTAGCAAACCCCTCTTCGCATGCATTCATGCTGAAAATCCCCGCCTAAAGAAAGAAGAAAGTTATTTTTAACAATATACACAAATTAGAAATACCAATATGGAAAGTGGAACTCTTGTCCATGCCAGCATTGATTATATTCCTGTCTTCATACCTGTTACGCTGTTGAAAATAACACAAACATATGCAACTAATACAAGCTTTAAATATGAAAGAGTCAGAAATGGAAACAAACTCAAAACAAGCAGAATTCACATTCTATGACAAATAGTAAGATAAGAGAATTGTTGCAATACTGCTTTCATCCTGATGATGATGATTGTGGTGATGCTGCTTCTTATCCCTAGAAAGACTTTAGTTTCATATCCTCTTGCCTTAGGACCTGGTCCAACTCTCACAAATGTCAGCAGGATTAGGCTTGGTTCAGGGCCTTTGTTGCTATTACTTAGCTTCTATGCAGCCAGGCAAAAAACATCTGGGTTTCTTCACATTTTAAGCCAAAAGAAGATTGATTTAGAATTTAAGTTTAGAAGCAAAATATAAGAAAAACGGTGATCACTTTACACCACTTAAAAATACATAATGTAAGCTCTTATTTTAAAGGTGGACATCAGGAAACAAAACCTAACACATTTTCTTTAACTTACTTGACACATGTTTTCTTCAGGATAACAAAGAGGCAAGGATGATATATCTATTATTAAAATAAAGATACTGTATCCACATAGCCCCTATATTTGATGTAAACGTGATACATTACCTAAAAAAAAAAAGTGTGTATACTCTTTAAAGTACCTACACAACTCACTCGTCTTATTTTCAGAAGTAGCTCACGCATTTCAGTAAGCAAAGCTACTGAAAGGCAACTTTGGCCAATAAGACTATGAGAAGTTAAAAAAATTGTTCTATATTTATTGAAAATATTTTATATTTAGCTATGGCAAAAGAAAACAGGATTGCATTAAAAATGATGAAAGGGAAAATCTGTCTCTGTAACTCCTGTCCAGCCCCCAAAAGTGAAATCAGTTTGCAAAGGAGAGATTGGCTTTTGGGGGAAAATAAAGCTGTACACTTACAGAACATATTAGCATCCAGTGTTGTGGCTTGTGATGATTCCCAGGTACTCATGACTATTCTCTCCTACCAAGCTGTTTTTTCTTCTTAAGTTATAACTAAGAAAAATACCATAATGGACTGATCATAATGAAATATGGACTGCGTTTGCTTCTCTAGCATCAGGTAACAAGGATATCATTTTTCAAGTTGAGAAAAAAGAAATCTCTCAGCTTTCACAAAAAAAGCATATTATTACTAGAATGTCAAATGACAATCAAAACTGAAAGACTAGGATGATAGAACTCAAATTTTTTGACATGTCATGTCCATCCTCAGGATACAGACTTTTAAGACAAGCCATATTTTCAGGAGTAGTACGTGTCTAAACAGAAATGTAGTGGAATTTTTAAGTCATAAGCAGATTAGAAGGCTAACTCCCATTATCTCTAACATTCTGAAAATCCTCTTTCTGTTTCTTTAGGAGCCTAGAGATTTTTTTAAAATACAACCCAACCTGTATTTATTTCTCTGTGTCTGTCTGTTTTGCTGCACTAACCTTTTAGCATCATTGAGCAAATAAAAGGCTAGAGGAATTTTGGCTCATTTTGTATCATATACTGAATTCTGCCCAGGTTCTGGCATATTTAAATCTTTCAAAGCTCTTTTTGGAATGGAACCTTTATAATAGAATTATTCTCTTTTCTCTAATTAACTCCCTCCAAAATCCATGATTTAATTAGTCAGTATTAAAAAAAGAATCAGACATTTGGCGATGTGGGAAGCTGGCTGAATGTTCTGAAGATAAGACCAAGTGGATCCAGGATTAATCTGTTTTCCATTTCACAGAATATCCTTATCTTGAAAAGGACATACTGGTTGTCAAGGAGATTTGGCAGATGTGCTTGCTCAATCTCTTGAAATGCAATAGGACATTCTCGTTTCAGTCTATGTGCTGCTGGAATAGAAGAAAAAGGTCCCTTTAATAACGGGGACTGTAAGTACCTAGTGGAAGAAGCTGAGCTTATCTACTCTTCATTTAATTGTTAGGCCCACACCTAATGGGGAAAAGACAGATTCTTTACTCTGGTAGCTTGACCAGTCATAATTCTTCCACTAAAACTTTCCTTTTAGAACCTGTCAAGATTGTTAGTGCAAATCAACTTTTGAGTCTTCACACCTCTCTTAATCATTCAGCCTGAAATTTTCATTAACATAATTTGGTCAATAGCCTTCTAGCAGTAATGAGAGGCAAACAATTGCATTGACTTGGATCCAACTAATAATGTGAGCAACAAAGATTGATCGTGCTCCTGAATCAAAATAAAAGGTGTAGATCAAAGTCTTCCACCTTAAAAGTTACAAAGTTTGACATACAGATTGCGTTCTTCTGTTACAAATTTTTCATTACACTTCCTAATGAATGGGAAAATTTTGGAAATAACATCTCAAATTGATCAGCAGTTTTATCAGAATGCAGAATATTTCCTCTTTTTCCAATATAACCAGCTGGTATCACACCTGTGTTCCCTCAAATTCAAAAAAAATAGTTTAATGAGAGTAAACAAAGAAATAAATGCCCAGATCTACCAAAAATGATAGTTGAAAGCTGGAGAAGTAGAAGAAGAACTTGACAAAGATGGTCTCTATTGCATGAATATTTTGCCACTGCTTGTATCCAAGAAGCTTCCAATAGTGAGGTAGTCGCAGGTTTTCTATTGTTGCCGGACCTATCTTGCCTCCAATGGACAAAAGCCAACTGTTAATTTATCTAAATGCAGTCGTTTATATAAAATCCACCACACTAACTCTGACTATGCAATTCCTAAAACACATGACTGCAGTTAGCTATAATTAGCTTGAAAGATCATATGGAAACTTCAGAAGCAACTGACCACTACTGAGCAATATGGAGAACAGAGACGTTAGGACGAGAGGAAATGGCCTCAAGTTGCACCAGGTGAGGTTTAGATTGGACATTGGGAAAAAGTTCTTTACTGAAAGAGTGGTTAAACATTGGAACAGGCTGCCCAGGGAAGTGGTGGAGTCACCATCCCTGGAAGTATTTAAAAGACGTGTAGATGAGGCGCTTAGGGACATGGTTTAGTGGGCATGGTGGTGTTGGGTTGACAGTTAGACTCGATGATCTTAGAGGTCTTTTCCAACCTTAATGATCTTATGATTCTACCAGTTCAGTAAGAATGCCAGTGCCTCCTTTTTACTCCTAGATACAGTTCAGGACATAGATGCTAACATGTAAAGCAACATATATGTTGGGCACCTATTCTAAGATATTGTCTCTCCCAATATATACTGCATAGCAAGGAAATGGATTGCAAACATTTAAGGTTGGTGTCAGTAAGTTTACAGTGGAAAGCCACTACTGCGAAATTTAATCTTCCTATCTAACAAATCACCCATAAAACAGTTAAAAATGAGCATATTACTCCAAAAAAAAAAATTTAAAAGTTGCCTATACGCCTCTCATTGGCTGAAGTAAGTGGTCAGTTGCCTTTCAAATCCATGACTAGTCTAAGCAGTAGGAGAAAAATACTGCATGACTTAATGTATTGGTACATGATACCAGCTTAAAAGCATTAAGTTCATTATATTGTTTCCATCTATATTTAATTAGTATTCAGCCAACTGACATAGGCGTGCAATAGTTTTAACAGAGTGCCTATTACTTAACCTCGAGCCTGTTATTTAATCTCAGCTTCTGACATCAATCCACACAACTTCAATGTGTACCTCTGAAAGACTATCTCAAAATAAATAATTCAGCTGCTGAGAAAGCATCTCATGTACATTTACCATGCAAGGCAAAGGCATAGCACACAAGAATCTTTAAAACGTACAGTGTTTTTAAATAAGCATACTATTTTGGTTTAATACCTGAGCAACATCTTGTGTATATCTCTCAATAGTCATGGACTACCTTGAATTTAGAACATGTAAGATGATAAAATAAATAGAAGAATCTATAGTCTGTTCTTTGCACTGGTACCTAAATGAGACATCTAATAAAAGATTATTTTTTTTTTTTTTTAGTCAAGGTATATATTAACTTTCCAGAATCAGATGCACTGCCTACAAAGAACCTCCTGAAGTACTACCAGTGCCAATGAAGTTAAATATGCTTTCATGTTGCTCTGTTTTCTTTCTCCCTTTTAAAACTGTCATTATTAGTATTATTATTTAGAAGAGATCAGCAAAACTAGAATTCGAGTTTCCCATTGCCATCCAGTGTTCCCTGCACATGAACTCTGTGCCTTTACTCTTAACCCCTGCCCATTTCCATCTTTTCCTACTTTTAATTCCTACTTCTACATTAAGTGAACTCTCCAGTCCTCTTCCAACTAATTCTCCAGTCATCCCAATCTATTTGCTTTCAACTTCTTGTTTCTACTCAAACTCAGATAGGAATCTGCCAGAAACTCTTCTTTCCTCTGTATACAGTTCTTAGTATCGCTGTGACAGAAGACAGATAATCTGACCTAGCTGTGAATTCTTATTTTGCCTGCTAGTGTTAAAGTTGCTATCTGTTTCCTCAGTTGCTTATACTGGGACAGCACAGTTTATTTTTCACATTGAATTACTCTTAAAACAAAAAATGTCTTTTCAGCTAGGGTAACTGTAACAAAGATAGCCAACCTTTGAAAATAATTCATTTTCTGTATTAATGGAGAGCACTGCCAGCTGGATGGACTATATCCCCACATCACTAATGTGCTTTACAAAATGTTTTCCTGCATCTCAGATACCTAGTGTTTATGCTGCAAGAAAGGAATACATGGTACTTTATGCAAACAATGATACATGTTTTCCTTGAATACATTTTCAGTTTAATTCAAGCCTGTTGAGGAGTAATGATGCAGGATGATAAACAGGCATGCAGGGATGACAATTCCAACACTAGCATACTGAACAGAAACTTTTATCAATTCCCTACTATGCGCACGCTGTGCTTTTAACAACATATGCACATCACAAATGTTATCATTTACACTTACATTTTCCTTTAAAAAGTGGATGAGAAGGACATGATTTATAAAATTAAGTACAAAATAACTGTAAAATGTGATCGTAATAGTTTAGTAGGGCTAAAGAGGCACTCTTATTCCAAGCTGCTGTATTTTGTGCTTACAATAGTCTGAAAATATTATCCTTTAAGGTAATATTTTATTGAAAAACAACGTTTCATTTTGTTGGAAAGTAAGCTTCCAGAAGGGATTTTCTTAGTGTTTTTTTCTTCCCCTGAAATTGGTGAGATTTGTAGTGACTCTAATCTCTTGTGAAAATGAAGTTCCAAAGCCATGGACTAGTGCCCCTACTTAATTTTCAGTACTGCAAAGTACAATTCCATTCAGCCTAAAGGACAGAGCCAAAAATAGAAGTCTAGATGAGACCTACTCCAATGTCACCTGAGCTCTGCCCACTGACGCTACTGAAGATAAGGAGCAGAGCACTTCAAATGTGATCTTGGGGTACAAAGAACTGACACAGCACATAACGTAATGGAGCAACAAGCTCTCACCATCCTACATTTATCAGTTGGGTCATTTCACACTGAAACACCTGAAAAGCACTGCATTATTCTGAGAGATAAACTGTTGCAATTCTAAATACTCCAAGTAACAAATATGTGAATATACAGGACAGGTGTCTCCTACAGCACCGAACAGGATGGGAGGGTATTTTCCTGATCAGTTTTGCATAGGAGACAAAGTGCACTCTTTATCTGCATATGCAATATAAGCATTTTAAAAATCTCATTTCACTAACTTCAACATCAAAAAGTCAATGTCCACGTCACCTTAGGAAAATATAGAATAGAAGAGAACGCTATTGAACACTAAATATGAACACTAAAACCAGATTTGAAGGTATAGAGTAAGAATCGGAATATTTGAAGGCTAAAATATCTCCTCATACTTCTTAGTTTATAATTTGGGCCTTCTTATACATTTAATATTTCTACAGATGCATACAGGAGGGTATGCATGTGTGTGTGTATACCTATTTTATTTCTTTTATATATATACCCTTATATGTAAATAAAGAAATCTCTAATGCAAAATATAGTCTAGAATATGTTTCCCACACTTATGTTCTTCATAACTCGATTTTTGTTCATAATCAGGTACACTGTCATTATACAGCTGTCTGAATAAGCAGTCCAATCGCTTTTAAATTACTAGTTAATTCAACAAGCTGCAACCATCCTGAATGTACATTTCTGAATCATCAGTAGACCAAGAGTCTCCTTACCACAGGCAGACTGCAACCTCTCCCACATACATATCATTCATCACTTTTTGTCCCCTCCATTCTACCTGATCAAATCATAAAGAGTGATTTTAATTCTTCAGTAACATACATCATCCTACCCAGTACAATACTGCCAGTTAAAACAAACGCATCCTTATAAGAAAGAATAATTAACTGTTATTGATTTTTACCTAGAATTTCGAAGCTGCAAAATAGGAACTCATATGCTTTTATTTTCACACAATTTTAAATTGTTAATAAGGGAACTTCAAATATTATCTAGAAAGTACAATGCTTTCTGAAACAAAAATTAACATTCAACCAGCAAATAATATAGCTTCATAAAGTTACCTTAGCAGTTTCATGCCTCGTAGGTTAAAACAACCAGAAATTGTGTGGCTGTGTTTTTAAAGTCACACTGGGACAAGTCAGAAATTGAATCTTGCATTATATTACCATATATGACTTACTACCATGAAAGGAAATGAGGACTCTCATAGTTTGGTATGCACAAATTAGATTGCAAACCACTAAGTGGTTTTTTGCTGCCTACTTTAATCACAAAACCATATTCTTTGAAAGAATATGGAAAATATAATGAAAACTTACATAGAAAAAACATAATCACTTCATAGTCGCATTAAAAATTTTTATTAAAAGTAAAAGAAAATCTTACCAAGCACTTTTGAAAAATTTTATTAAACTTTCAGTGGTATGTCTTCACTTTTCAAAGCTGTATACTGTTCTAAAGAGCTGAATGAATACAGTAAAAGGCAGCAACATAGGACAAGGAAGAGAGAGTGAGTCAAGCTAAAATGACTAAACATACGTGTCTACAAACGAGCTAGGTGTTTGGGCTTACATTATAGTTCATAGAATCAATGGACTCCAGAAAACCAGGCAGTAGGACTCAATTCACAGAATGACAGAATAGCTGATGTTGGGGGGAAACTCTGGAGAGAGTCTAGTGCAAACTCCTGCTCAAAGCAGGAGGGTCAGATAACAGCAGGTTGCTTAGGGCTATGTCCAGCCGTGTTGTATCTCCAAAAGGAAAGAGATGTGGATGGAGACTCCACAGCCTCCCTGGGGACCTGTTTCTTTGTTTCAACACCAATTGCCTAAATATAGAAGTCCAGGCCTTCTGAGATGCTTTTGGATTAATCAGACATCCACAAAAGAAAGTCAGATAAAGCAGATCCATATTCTTTGGGGGAGGCAGCTATATACTCAACTCTGGTATATAAAATGTCACTATATATACGCACGCATGGGTAACTGAACAGAGTAATACATGTCTACTTAAGGGTAAATTTAAATGCATTGCAGGCTCTACTGACTACTGACTAGAGTCCGCCATCAATGATAATGGGAGACAATACACAAATAGACACCTAAATGTATTTCTCAATCTAGCATTCTCTTTCTACCATAACAGCAATCTTAAGCAACAGAAAGAAAGGAGAGGAAAAAAAAATATATTCAAATTAGACATGCTGATTCTCTATCACTGAAATTATTTAGGAACACAGACCAGGCGATCTTGCACTGCCCTTTCCAGCTCTCCAGAAATCTATTTAACATTTTATATTAATTTAAAGAGATATACTTACAGCATGTGCTCCCTGTATTGTCCGTACAAGGTTGATTCCTTTCCATACATATATATCTCCATTCAGTGCACCAGAATATGTCACTTCATCCCTTGCACAGGCTAGGCACAATATAGTTTGGAGATCACCAGTTTTGCCAAAAACGCCACGTTTTGGTGTCAATGAATTGCCACACAAGCTCCAGAACTGCAACATAAAGTGATTTAGAAAGATGGGTATTTCGCTAATATCCTATAATTTAATATGTACATCTGAAACAGAAGTTCCTTACCTCCAAAAGACATCATTATTCATACCCTTTTCCCTGCTTTAGTTCTCCAGTTGGTTAACAACCTTTTATGTTATTAAACAACTTTATCTTTGCACAAAATCTGCATAGCAGACTAGTAGGGAAGTTTTGAGGTATCAGTATTAAATCAAACTGAAATTCTTTTAAATTATAATTTGCGAGTCAGTTGTATAGTCAGCATTTCATAATAGAATTATCTGATCTTTCTTTGATGTAAGACTTCCACTTTGCAAATGCTGCATTTGTACTTTATGTTACTTTAGGCATTTAGAGATGCAATCTAAGCACGTAAAGTTCTGGTAAGGTTGCCATTTGCTCTGTTTGAAAGCAGATGGTTTTATTATAGACTTACCACTTCTCATGAGAACCACTGATCACACAAAGCAGCCACCTAAGACGGACATTTTTGAGAACTTTCTAATAAACCATTACAGCAATCACATGAGGGTGAATTTCCTCCTAGGTGATCCAACACGTACTAATGACTCCTAAACTAAAGACATGCAAAGTCTCTTGTCAGAGCACAATACTTGCCAGCCAAACCTCCAGCTACACTCTAGTTTCTGAGATCTCTGCAGACAAGCAGCACTTGCATATTCCCTTCAAACCCTCCCGTCCAAACACGTAAATGTGCGCTGGGAAGTCAACAAGCTGCTTGAGCAACCCAGTGCAAAACGTGAAAGCATTTATTTCGTCACTGCTGACAGTTTACTCTTACACTCTCAACATGTTCCCTGTATACATGTTTACAAATCTGTATTTCACAGCATGTCTCCATTACCAATAATCTATTCAAAATTTTGAGCAGATACTTCAATTAATACAGGATAATGTAAGCAGTTACAATGAACAGATTTTTGTACCAGCAATACTGTAATTAAGAAATAACCATATACTGATTAGACAAATCATAGAATCATAGAATAGTTTGGATTGGAAGGGCCCTTTGAAGGCCATCAAGTCCAACCCCCCTGCCGCAGGCAGGGACATCTTCAACTAGATCAGGTTGCTCAGAGCCCCGTCCAACCTGACCTTGAATGTTTCCAGGGATGGGGCATCTACCACCCTTCTGGGCAACCTGTTCCAGAGGTTCACCACCCCCACTGTAAAAAATTTCTTCCTTACATCTAGTCTAAATCTACCCTCTTGTAGTTTAAAGACATTCCCCCTTATCCTGTCGCAACAGGCCTTGCTAGAAAGTCTGTTCCCATCTTTCTTATAAGCCCCCTTTAAGTACTGATAGGCTGCAATAAGGTCTTCCCGAAGACTTCTCTTCTCCAGGCTGAACAACCCCAACTTTCTCAGCCTTTCTCCATAGGAGAGGCATTCCACCCCCTGACCATTTCTGTGGCCCTCCTCTGGACCCGCTCCAACAGGTCCATGTCTTTCCTGTGCTGAGGGCTCCGGAGCTGGAGGCAGTACTCCAGGTGGGGTCTCACTGGAGCAGAGTAGAGAGGCAGAATCACCTCCCTCGACCTGCTGGCCACGCTTCTTTTGATGCAGCCCAGGACATCCCTGTGTCCCTGGAAATCCCTGTATCTTAACTAGTATTTCTTTAACCAAAGTACACAGGTCATAGATTATGTTGTTGCTTGAGAAGTAACTGCACAATCACTGCATAAATCAAACACCTAGCTCCAATATGGAAGTAGGTAACATATCTAAGAAAAGTAATTCCTCAGTAACAGTTCACTTGGAATTATCTACATAACTTAAGTAATATTACAATTTGCATACATATCATGTGAGGAAAAAATACGATAGTATTACAAACATGAAAGTAATTACTGGTATCTGAAAGAACAAGAAGAAGGGATGGTTTAAGAAAAATACACATCAACAGAAATCTCTTGCCTGATCCAAATGCCTGTAAGTCTCTAGGATTCAGATTTTTATTTAATGTTTTCTCAAAGCAAACACCAATTATTTTTAAAATGCTATTGTTATTTTAAAAGGCTTCATAGAGCCTTAAAAGCAGCTCAAATGAACTTTTGCTTATCTAGATACGTTTTGACATCATAAAGCCACCTTAAATATACTAAATCACTGCTGGCAAATATTAGCTCGCTATTGGCATAACAGTCCTTTTAGATCTTGAAGTAGGAAAAAAAAAAACATTATTAATCAAGCTCATGGAAACTGTAAACGACATGCTAAAACACTACGCTAAATCAAAGACGCATGCAATCTAGCCAATACATTGAACACTTTTTCCAATAAACCATTAATACGTATTAATCTAAGAGTTCATTGTACAAAAAGCAATACATTTTTCCCACCATAGGAACCTACACATAAGAGCAATACAGAACTTTCAAGCTGCCATCTACTGCTGTTATGTGGTAACACAGAGGACAGTGCATGGGAGAAGGCAGTGACTTTAGGAAACATATTTGGTGGCAATCAAGCATTGATAATCCTGCTGACAAGAGTTAAACCTGAAAAAGAAGCTGTTTCTGCACGGCAGTTGGTACATGGATCAAACGAAGCACAGTGTCTGAAACACTCTGCTTGAAAAAGACATGAACTGTCCAAATTATGAATCCTGTAACAGGTACAGAGTGTTTAAAATGACAAAGGTAGGAATAACAGCAGGGAAAAGAAAAGAATTAAGAGATCAAGCATTTTCCTTTCTCTTTCCATTGCATCCCCATAATCTCTCAAACTGTAAGAAATGGTTTTTCAACTCATTTCACCTCTGCAGTGTAACAATTCATTAATTGTTCGAGAATCAGAAACTTGAGTACCTGGACTCACCTTAAACGTGTGTATCCTGTCTTATGCTACTTGGGATTTCAAACAGCATGTTTTAAGACAACCTAAGTTTTAAATTATATTACGACCATTACATACGATGCTACTGACAACTGTTTCATTCCTTCTGCATTCCTTCTGTCAGGGCATGAACTCTTTTGAGCAGAGATGGTCTGTTTTCCACTATATATATATATCTTGTAAAATGTCTAGTTTAGTCAGGTGTGATCCATGATTGCAGTTCCTAAGAAGTAATATTATTCTTACAGAGGACCTTTCATATTATTATATATTCCTTTTAGATTCTATTTTTATATAGAGTATAAAATACTCTTACTTTACTCTTATTTAAATATTTTATGAATTAACATTTATTTCATTACCTTGATGTGTTTTACGCCACAGCTGACGAGCTTGTTTGGCTGGTACAAATCCCAAGAAATATCAAATATCTGCATAAAAAAACCCAAGGATGTCAGCAGAGATGGCCTTTCTAGCATGGGACAGTTAAAACCGTAAAAACTTGTAGCAAATTAACAGACAGTCTGAAATGCTTTAAATGGAACTATTGGAATGACTTTTTTATCCCCTCATTCAATGCTGAAATTGCAATGTATAGCTCATATTAGTTCTGTTTGGTTTTTTTTCCTAAGGTAATTACAACAAATGATAAAACAACATAAAGGTTCATTTACAGACTAGACAAATTTAAGAGATTATTTGCATTTTGATTTCCCATATAAGGATTAGGGTCTAGGAAGTGCATTAATTTAGCACTTCCCCTACACGTTTACAGTCTCAACAAACCATACACAAATAAATGGTGAGTTACTCATTTTATTTTAGAAATAAATATACATATCTTAAATATCTTCACAAATCTTAATACATATCCAAGCTTCATGCAAATTCAATTTCTAAAACATAAAATGTTTTTTGTTCAGACGTAGCTCTAGTATGTATACACAGACATGGTTTAACAAGCTAAAATTACATTGACACTCAAGTTCTTTAATTATACTTACCCTGTCTGTATGACCAGGAGCCATTGATAACAATTTTCCCTTTCTCCAGTCCCATACACAAACTGTGTTTTTCGAATCCAAACCAACTGAGACCAAGCGCTAAAAATGTCCAAATTAAATAAATAATAATAACTCAATATATTAATGAAAGCTAGAGTCATCATTTTGAATAACAAATTCATAACATATTTGAGTTAGAAGCAATAGCTACATTTCGATATAGAAGAAAACTAAAGATACAACATCTTATGCCAAAGCTTCCATAGATGCGTCTCTTCAGTTATGACATCATGATCATAAAGAAGATCTTCTCAGATAACAACATATTTCTGATTTATAATGTTTAATATATATAATTATATATAGCACACATGGCAAGCAGCAGTCAGGAGACATTTGCAAAAAGGAATAATCTCACTGAAGTTAATGAAACTACATTGTTTACCCCGAATTACATATAACTTGCAGAATTTAAGTATTTATTTTACAAGTTCAGGAGATACAAAGAAAAAATATTTTCTTCAATCTTCTTGGAAACAAACAAAACAGTTTAAAGCTTTAAAAACAGTTAAAAGCTTTAAGAGCCTTTTGCTTGATTCTTCAAAACATGTATGAGTAACTATTCCTTTCTGAATCCTTTCTCAAACCAGAATCTAACAAGACCCCAAACATACAAATGTCATTAAGTTTTTAATATTCAGAAAGAGCCTGAAGCCAATTAAACTGTAAAACCAGGAAAGACAAAAATATTGTTCCAAGAAAATATAGAAAAATTAAAAGTTTGAGATCTTCCTATGCTCTGCAGCCTGTCTTGTCTTCAACTGTGAAGATATTTTGCAGATTTCTTGACACAAATCATTGACCATATTAGCCAACAGCCCACTTCTACTATATCTGTTAACCAGTCAAAATGTTATTTTTCCTATGGAAATTCTCAACAGAAAGACTAATGGTATTAAAGATCAGATAAAAAGAAACTGAGTAATGTTGAGTTTTGCTTTTAAAGAAAATTAAGCCTTTTTGTTCAGTTTATGCATGACATCTTAACTTTGGTAAATGAAAGCTTTGCAAATCTTTAGGACAAAGCTTTTTTCGCTGTTCAGCAGTTAATACCTACGCACATTAAAGACAAATTTAGATAATCTATGTATATTATCAAAGTGAGTTTGTAAAAGCAAAAAGAAAACCCCAAACTTAAGTAATTTTCTTCCCAAAGACAGAAACCTACTCCCAATAACATCATTTCTTTACTGTCTGAAAAGCTCCAAGATTATGAGAAGAAAAAGAAACAAGCTAAAAACAATTGCTATCCATGCTCCCTATCTATTAATGCCAACTTCAATTTTTCCGATACAGCAAAGTCCAACTTTTCTCTTCCATCTTTGAAAACATTATCGAAAGGAACATCAGTTTCAATTCCAGCTACACTTCCAAGCAATTCAATTCCAGTCCTACTGCAGAATGAGAGGCATAGATGCAGACTAGTTTTACAATTACCGCATACCCATCACAAAAAATTTGGGTGATGCCTTTCCAGACATAAGCTGATATACTGACTTCTCAAAAAGGGAGATTAAATGACATTCTTGGTTCTCCCAAGAACTAGAAAATCTTGTTACCAGCCAGCACACCCCCACAGTGGAGTAGAGCTCAGAGAAGAGAAGAAAAAACAGTGAGCTTGGGGAATAATGTACCATAAAGCAAGCTGAACTTCGCTCAACACCAGGGAGACTGGAGGGTAATCTTGGGTTTAGATGACACAGCTGCACCACTGAATCATCAGCTTCCCAAAAGACAATTAACAAAGGATAATAAATAAAGAATAAACAATGTCTTCCTGAGCTGGCCAGACCAGTTGGGGGTGGGAGGAGACTGTGTATGTGGCACAGCCCAACATGAAGTATAAAAACTGAAAAACTAATAAAATAAACTTTGAAGAGGGCAATGGGCTTGACCTCATTTCGACCCACATATTCCTTCCTGGTGACTGGAGATGCCCAGCATTGTGACAGTGATCATATAAAGACCAGTAATAGGAACCACGTTTTTCTTGTGACTCATTTGTATATTGCAAATGCTTGTGTTGTGATTCCAGTATATTGCTTTATCACTCTACTAAATCAAAATCCCATATAACGCCAAATATATCAAATAACTATATTTAATATCAAACATTAAACCCTCTAATAGAACCTGGTCAAGGACTCCTACAAATTTCAGTTTAAAAGGATAGGCAAGATGTAAACAAATATATTTTGCAGATATTTCTGAACTGGATTTGTGTTTTACTGTATTTCCATATGGAGACAATTCTGGAGATGCAGATCTTGAAAAACTTGTATCCAGCTTTGCTTTGAGACCACAAAATTTTAACAAATGCCACAAAAAAGGTGATCATACGGAAATGCTGAGAAAAGCTGACAGCCTAAATTCTGACTATTTACGGCTTTAAACATAAGAATCAGTACTGGGTACTCCTAGAACAAATCACAGATCTACATTCAAAGCTCTCCAATATACACAGGCGATGCATAACTGCATTCTAAAAAAGAGTTAGGGGACTCTAATCCTAATTAGATACATTTTGACCTTAAATTATTAAGGCTGTTCAAGTGAGGAAGTGACACGAGTTTACACAGACAAGAACAACATACAGAAAAGATATCACTGTCAGGTAGAAATGTTGTTCTAGAAAGAAGCTGACTCTAGAAGTTGACTCTCTAAACAATGAGAAACTAAATGATAAAATCTGTAGATCATTCCAACAAACTCAAAACCTCCCTACAACAATTACAGCATGTTTTAACAGAAACAAGTTACAGCTAGGCTTTCCTCTATTTGTGTTCAATAGAGCTCCATTTGATATTGTCTTAATAAGGACAGCAACTGGTCTCTTATAACACATCCTTGCTTGAGAAAGCAGTAGTAAGTAACAGATATTGACCTTTCTAGCAAGCAAAAGGAAATGAGAACATAGCTAAATCTGAATATCACATTGCAAGGCTAAGTGGGAGGGGAAGAAGTGCTGCATAAGACCAGGAGAGCACAACTGCACAAAGCACTTTCATGGCTAATACCTCTTCAGCTGCTACCTAACGTGTATTTTCCATTTCTAATATATCAATCAAGAAAGCCTCTTTACTCATAGGAGCAAGTGTCTGGTAAAAATTATCTCCCTTAAAAGTAGCAGCTCTGAGAAGCAATTTACTACCCAGAGAATGTTTTAAAGTAACAAAATTATAATCCAATAAAACCTTTTCCTTGACTCTTAGATCCAGGATACATGAGTCTGAACAAACAATCAAAATGTGGAGAGCCACCAACGCATGCAGAATGTGTGACAGAAAAGGGGATACTGCCTGAAGACATTTGGAGTCCAAGATGAGTAACACAACGGGACTGCCATCACTCTGTGCACAAGACACACCCCTGCACAGGGGAGGTCCACTATCTCCAACCATTTTGTGTAACCCTGAACTGTGGCCCACAGACCACAAGAATCTCTCTACCATGTCACTTTCATTCAAAACTCTTTTGAAGTTATACTTTTTTTGCCAAATGTGAATATTTGTCAGTCATTACTAATGCCAACTTTTTTTCCTCAACTTGAGAATAAGCAGATAAAACCTGAATCAATACACTTCCTTAAAAAAAGAAAAAGCTACATAACAAGATTTCTGACAGATAAACAATTTTTGAGAAAAGAATATTGATTACATACCTGACCATCTAAATCAAAAGCCAAGCAAGCTATACCATGTGTGTGAACATCTTTCAGAACAGATACAGTTTGCACAGTGTACGAGTCCCACACGCAGATGTACGGTTCTTTTCCAACTTGACCTGTTGCCACCAACACACGTTCCGGATGCAAAGCAAGGCTGCCAGAGAAAAAGATATAAAATATTTCTGCATTCAACTTCTACATTTGCGTCGTTGGTTGTATTAATATTTTTCTTTAAAAATGATTTTACAATATTTTCACATTGATAGTAAATATTAACAAGTCATTTTGTATCACAGATTCCACAATAGCTGTAAAATTCCTTTAATACAGTACATGCCACCACCTTTCTTGAATTTGAACCTTCAAGCCTTCCCCAATTAAACTAACTGCAGAATAGTCATTAACCCTCTGTTCCAAAATACAGAGTTTATTAAATTAAGTCAGATCTTCATGCACTAAAAAAATACCGATTTTCCCTTTCTTTCTATTTCTTAACATTTAAAAACACAAAGGATGGACATCAGAAGTTAGTGTTTAGCTACCTACCCATCTATCATCAACGGAGAGAGATATGCATCTCCAGAAGTACTTCATTCCACATACTATTTGATGTCCTTTTTATGAGAGGATTGAATAGCCTTCTGAAGCTCTCCCTCTGATGATCGTACAGCAAGCCAAAGCATGACTAGCTTAGACTAGATGTTATGACTAGACTTCAGATGACTAAACTGAAGTGAGATGAAGATTATCTTAAATGTCTTAATTTAAATATAGAACAATTGGGAATAGTTGATTTTGAATAATGATTAACTTTTCACATTTCTAACATTGCAGAGAATTTTCTTATAGGTCGTATTTCAGAGTCCTTCAAGGTCCACAGAGGATCATCACAACTGTTTTGTCAAATATGGCACCAAGCTAGAAAGCATGCTAGTCAGCAAGATAGTTTTTTGTTTTGTTTATGCAAGCAAGCTACAAGGGAGGACATGAGGTCTGAAGATTGATATTTCATAATACAGAAAAGTAAGAATATATTCTAATAGAAATCCAAACAATCTACCTGATGACATTCTACACAGAGTAGGCAGAGCAGTCCAAAATAATGTGAGAAATACCACACGCGAGTCAGGAAGATAAAATTTTGAAAGTTGGCTATTTAATTTGGCTAAAACATTTCCGCCTCTAACCAATCATAGAGTAATGATCTTGAGAGACTGGTGGACAGAACCACTAGCAACATATACGAAATGTATTTATCTTCTCAACATCACTTGAAAAGGAAAGTTGAGCACTTTGCAATGGTAAGATAATCTTACACCTGAACACAGATTTTGATAAATAAAGTTCAAAGGGTGGAGACAAGTGGAGTCTATAAACATAGAAGAAATAGCCAGGATAAAGCTGATCAGGAAATGACCAGGAAAAAAAAAAATCTAACTCAAAAGATGTATACATTTTCTATATGCAAAGCAAGAGAAAACCATGTTAGAAGTTGCTTAATACTTCATGGAGTCATATTACACTATGCAATACACTTTTATATTTTTTCTATTTTAATATAGCATTTCAGTTGGTTGATATTGCTTGACAAATTCCACACGCACAACTCGGAGAGGAATCTTTAACTTCAAAGTTTCTACAAAAGGTAAAAAGCTTCTGGACCTTTCAACTTTTCTATGGCAATTCCTCTTCTTTACGGCTCCACATTATCCTCAGCACCAGGATCAAGCAACCAACATTTCCCCACTTTGCTTCTCTTCAATTCCAGAGTTATTTCTCTGGCTCTTTTCTTCCTTCCTTTTTGACAGAGCAACTTCATAATTAAAAAACAATGCAGAAAGGAGCTGGCAAGCAAAACTTATCGCATTTCACTTCAGTTCTGCCACCGAATCCTGACCAACACCTGTACATCTCCCAGAGCAGACACAGGCAGATGGTGTATGCATGGGGAAAAAGGAAAAGCATCTGGAGGGGGAGAAAATGCTGCATTTGAAATGATCTAATTTTTACAATGACACCACAGAGAGGGAGAGATAAGACCACATGGACAATAAAGAAATTCAGGAAGAGAAAGGAAGTGAAAAGAATAAGCAAGGGAAAAAAGAAAAAAAACCCCAGAGACTGAAACTAAGAGAAAAAGTAAAAACACAGCAGTCTTATGACTGATTCATGACCTCTTCACTCCTATACTTAGCTCTGCTATTAGTGCATTGTGCAACTTCAGGCAAGTGAAAACCACCCCACAACTGCAACTTTGAAAAACACTCAGGCACCACCCTGGACACCCACACATGCAGAAGCACCTCCACGCCACACCTTATGAAACACTTTCCAGCAACCAAAAATTAGCTTAGCATGTTTTTAACTAAAGACCAGAAGCGACAAACGCGACACATCAGAGATGGAAGGGACAACGTTAAAGGCACTATCAAGGGCCAGGAAAACATTGTCCTAGCCCAAGTATGCCAACTGATTCCACTCGAAGTGTATTAGGTGAATATAGAGAATGTTTCCTCTCTTTCTAATTAATAACTTGCAAATAATAACTAACAGCAATATCATAGTATTAGTTCTTTCTATATCATGATATAAAATACTGCCTTAAACAACTGAGCTCAAATTCTGCCTTGATATGGTATAATGCAGCACAAATTAAGATCCAAAGCCTGTATTTTAATCACAACAGACAACACTGTAGAATTACCAATGTCCTTCCCCTGTCACTTCAGTCTCTATAGTAAATTGCTAACAACCTTTCTAGACAGTCATTGAAAGTAGAAGAAAATAAATATACAATAAATATTTTAAAACAGCAAGCTTTTTTAAAAATGCCAATATGCAGGGATTTCAGGGAAACTGAACAACAGAGCTGTTGGCAGTGGCTGAAGAAATACTTACCTGAAAACACCTTCCCTCACCATTTCTTCCAAAACAAGGAGTGAAGGATAGGTTAAAGTACTTGCAAGTATTTTATCTCGCTGGCTATCAGGACAGGTGGAAAAGAGAAGCGTGGAAAGAGTCAAGGGACTGCTATTTCTCTTACCAACACTAAGAAAAGGAACTGCCACACTTATTTACATGATTTTCATATGAACCATGAACGATAAGATGATGCTTTTCCTTAATATTTAAGTCTCGGCTATTGTTACACCCATGGGGCACCATGCAGAATTCCGGGTCTGAAATTTTGAGTCCTGATCAAAACTCAAGGATTAGACTCCAATTTTAAGCAATATGAGACCCCTTCCAGTTTTTTCATTGGACTATGAGTGATTAAGCAATCCTTACAGGCACGGCAATTAACACAAAAATATAGTCTCTTGGTCTAACCTCTAAAGTAAAAGCACTGATACAACTCACATATTCAGGAACTTTCATTATTAAAACAGTCCTGAGCAATGCATTGTAAATAGCATCTTAGTGCAGAAAGAAAAAATATAACTAGAACGGGTGCCCGGAAATGGATAACCATAAACTATATAAGGACTACGTTGACTCATGGGCATGAGTCAACAGGATCAAACAACGAGTGCGAGTTGTCTCTGGATACCCCGGATAAGATCTCCAAGACACCTCTACAGAGGTGTTAATAGTGTACAACTATTGGGATGGTATTTGAAGTAGTTGATTACTATCCATCCAGCCAGTCCCCGAGGACAGGCAGAAAAGCATAAGCGTGGCTCAGGTCGTAAGACAGCTTCCAAATCTGTTGATGTGGGCTCTGTGAACTTAAGTACACTGACCCCCTCACACGGATTTTCTTGCATTTTTCTCTCCTAGGGAGAAAGAGGAGATTGCTTAATGGAATGAGAAGCTCCAAGCTCAGAAGGAGAGAATTCACGTTCCTTTTACTGCCCTGGTAATGAAAGCTGGGATGACCTATCCAGGTTAGACTGCTGAAACCATGCTTGCACCTAGCCCACACAGCTAGACTGTGAACTTGTGCCTGATTTCTTTCCTCTTCCTGGAAGGATGACTAAGCTGATGAATGAGATATCGCTGCTTGTCCAAAAATGGAAACAAGCGTTCCTAACGAGACAAGTTCCTCAGGCCTTCTTCTTTGCCTCTGGCCTTTCTGACCTGGGCTTTTCAAGAACAGATGTTAGATCTAACGTAGTGTCTCTGAAGAGGCAGATATGAAGGAAAATGTCCAAAAGGCAAATGTGACCATGAAACAAAGCAGGAATTAAGCTAACAAACTGCTAAGCCAAATTAATTTTGAAAGCGGATATAAAATTTGATACTTCTCAGAAGAGTTCAGAAGGAGAAAATTCAAAAAAATCTGCCTGTCACTATTGCAACAAAACCAATTAGCTGGACCTGTAGAGAACTGAGATTTCCACTGATACCTCTGACTGACAGGTCTTTTCCTAGATAGATATTCAAAGCAGGCTGAAATACAGTATTACAATTTTAACAGTATACTGAAAAGGGGTATGTTTCTCAATTTAGTGCATTCAAGCTCCTCTTTCATACTTCATACAGAAAGGTTCTTTCTACCTTTTAGAGCAGCATGTAAGCATTCCCACCATTTTGACCAGATCCATGCACTGTACAATACCTACGTTAGATTAATAATATTAAATATTTATGGCAGCCTATGAAAAAAAAAGTATAAAAACTGTCCATACTGCGTCTGTTTGGGATGAGACCAGAGACATGCACGTGACCCTCCAATCTGTGTGAGGTTTGTAGTGGCAGGGGATTCTGAAGAAAAATAGTCTATAACAAGCTATTTTATTATAAAAGAAATTAAGATTTTTCCATCTTTACTTGGTTTGTGCTGAGCATTAACAGGCATTGATTAATACAGACAAGCTGCAGACAAGGATACAGTATTAAAGATGATGTTTCCTTAGCAACAATATTGGATGAAAATCCAAGAATATATTCATGTGACTATTCCTGAGCTTCATAAAACTAGGGCACCAGTAAAAATGCACAAAAGTATACTGCAGTAAAATAACAGCATCTCAGATATCTACTAATTAAGAGTTAATTTCAAGTGTGAAATTGTTCCTATGAGTAAATACAGAAAAATACTTTCATTGTATGTTTACAGACATTTTACATATAGTTGTGGATATTTTCTTATTTGCTGCCATTTATCCATATTTCTCCAGAAAGAATGACAGGAGAAACTACAAACCATTTCTGTCATACTATTTAAATTGTTAAAGCAGAAAGAGCTGTAATCAGCAAACTCTCTCACAAGAGTTTAAATAGATCAAGTCAGAGCACAGTTACTTCTCATAGATAAAACAAAGCAGTACTCATCATCGAGCATCACTACTGGGTCTTCCATATAGTTACTGTCATAGCACCAGTAACGTCAAATTCAGCTTTCTGAAGATTCCTTAAATTGTACAAGCATCCAATTCCAAAGTAAGAGAGTCTCAACTGCAGACAGGGAGGGTGGACTAAAACTGTACATTGATTATTCCCAGCTGCAGTTTATCTCATGACCATTCTGTATTCTCCCCTCTCGGACCATGAATGTTTTTAGATTAACAAGAAACATTTATAAGCAATCTAGAGAACCCTAAAAATCGCTTTGGGCTCCTATCTGTTCCAAAACTCACCAGAAGGAAAAAAAAAAAAAGATTAACTTCAAAGAGAAGAAAAGAGTTAGAGAGTGAGTACAGTAACAGTGATGCAAAGTTCCCAACTTATCAAATATGAAAATTGAGGAAAAAGATCCTGGGAACTATATGCCACTTTACGCAGATGCACATTTTTGCCTTGCACAGTCATGTCCTCCACTGCTGAGAAAGGGACTGGCTTAAGCTTTCTAGCAAAAGAGTTACCATCTCTAGAAAAGAGATTAAAAATAAAGATACTCCCCGTCTTTTCAAATATGAATGATTTTGCCAGTGCCAATAGGAGAACTCATGTTGTGACTGGGGGGGGTGTGCTATTTTTTTTCCAAATTCTACATGATATTGACACTTTCATCACTAGGTTTTCACTGTCTGAGGAAAGTCTCTTTTCTAACATGTCCCTTGAAAAAGGCAGCAGCAAAATCACTTGCATTTTCCTAGCAAAAAACTCTTCTCACAGAAAAGTCAGAAATATCATACACTCCAAAATGATCTGGAGATAAATTTGCTAAGACAATGTCCTATTATCTTCTACTACCTATTCATAATAAAGAAGCAATTCTGATTATAAGAACTCGTCGTACAATAATGTGACATACTAAAGCCTGAAGGTAACCAAGGAATGGAATCCCACCTAAAAAATTTACCAAATTCCTTCCTTCCTCATGAGACAATGTAAGGACTTAAGACTCATTCTTTAAACCATTATTAGATATGAACTGTCAAACACCACCCCCCACCCCCCTGTACCAGCAACAAAAAAAAAGGAGAAAAGAAAGAAAAAAAAAACACCAACAGAAGAGCAAGATCTGCAGAAAGAAGAGGTACTGCAATCAGCTGTCAGTAACTTAAGAGGGAGGCAGTCCAGCTATTCAGCTCCTTTGGGTCACTACGGTTTGATGACCCAAAAGAGATCCCCCTGAACAAATCAGCAAGCACTATTAAATAATTTGGTTAAGATCTGTCAGTCACTAAGTTAGAAACCAGTTCTTCATTCCTGAATACAAGTGGTGAAAAGTATACAAACCTACAAAATTATCATAATTAAAAAACTGAGACAGCCTAAAATTAAAGTGGGAAATACTGATTTCCCATTCTAACCAGTTTACAATCTAAGAAACTACTTAATTAGCTTAAGTAAAGATTATCATGCTGTAGCCACTTAATTATGTGGACACTGAGACAAGTATGGCTATAAAATCAAAACCGATTTAAATTTCAAAAAATGTTTGCAATGAAATACAGGCTAGAAAGGGAAACTGAATGACAAAAATTCTTATCACAGTTATAATCACTCTCATTTTTCAGTGCATGAAAACTCACTGCACTGTTTGCTGAATTATAAACATATAGAATAAATTTTAAGGTCAAAGAAGCATTCATTCCAAATCTTTTAGCCAGGAAAATTTCAAAAATTTCTTTCCAGAAAAAGGTTATTTTGGATGCTTCTCACCTCACAAGTTAACTAAATAAACTTGCTTGAGGTACAAAATTTTCTTGATTCTAAATCTTTCACTATCATGGTAAAACCCTTCAAACAACCCTTCATCCAGTCATTACTGTTTGCTTCTTCTCCATAAGAGATTTACAACAGTTTTTAACTACTAGATTAATCTTCTTCTATTATTTTTGAAATTTATACTAGATCTTCTAGTATTACATAGAAAAAAAAAAAATCACAGATTGTACAATTTTCTTTCATATTTCTGAACAAGTAGATTAAACAGCAATTCAGTCCTCTCTCCTATAGGATACATTATGAAAAACTTATCTGAATATGTGAGAACTTACCATCTGAATATTCAAGAGTGAAGTCACAGAATAATTAGTGACAACTTTTGAAAGGTTTTTCTTTTATACAGAAAGGTCACCCTGATAAAATTAGCAGTTGGCTTAAAATAAGGAATGGTGGGAAGAAGGCAGTGGCAGAGCTGCTAGTGAAATAAGCTGAGATAAGCACAATATTCTGTGCTTCAATGGGCTGTATTTCATTACCAACCAAAGAAGGTTTAGAGCAGAAGAGAGCACTAAAACAATCTTTATCTTGCCAACCCTGAAGACTGCAGATACACTAGATTTCTTCCCGAGCTCTTGAGAACACCAGGCCTACAGGTGTTTCGCAGGTGTTAGTCAGAGGTGTTCTCCTACAGAAAAGGAAAGCCAAGGACATCTATAACACCTGTCTCAAATTTACCATCCCAGCATCTAACTTCATGCCCAGAAAGGTGAAATAAGCCAGGATTCTACTCAAAGTTGGGACAACATCTGAACCATTGTTCAGAAAAACTATAAAAATGTGATGGAGGCCACAGAACAGAAGT